TGGTAAATGATGATTATGTCACATTAGAATTGATGACCATGATACATTTGAGAATAAAACAGACAAAACAAAGGCTAACAAAAATCTTTAAAGGACGAGTGGCTTTAAGACCCTATATTAGCCCCCAAGATATTTAGAAAAAATTGTACAAGATATCAAAGAAGAGACTTTGTTTGATAACCAGATCCAAAAATCAGGTCATTCTGACATTTATATTTCAAAATATAGGTCATTCTATTAACGTGTATAAAATAACCTTTTCAAGGAAAAATCACTTTTTTCACATCATTATTGTCAATGTTTCTATTTATTATCAAAGTAATCATTATTTTCAGTCATTTAAGACTTTTTAATTGATCCTGTGCCTATTATCTTACATAATAGTGACAAAGCATATTGGGCAACATTTGAAAGCATATAAAATATAACAAGTCACAAATACAAAAAAAAATCAAATAGTGATCTTTTTTATACTTCATTTAGAACAACTGTCTACAAAAAAAGTTTGCCAAACTATGTCAGAAAAGAATATTGAATTTTTTTGATTTACATCACAATGAGAAAGAAGGGGCAACATTTAAAAACACATGAAGTAATTAACAAGTCAAAAATACATATCAATCAATGATATATTGATCTGCTTCCTTGAGATCATTTGCACATATGCAGTTTGTGGCAGTAAAATACTGAATTTATTATTTCACATCACAGTGAGGAAGCACAAAGAGCAACATTTGAAAACACATGGACTTTACATAACTGGTGATGAGCACATTCATGTGTTTGTTCATTTTAATAAGAGATTCTCTGAGCTATCATCGTCTTCTTCAGATGACAACATTTCATACATATCTTTTGATTTTAAAATGTCAAACTTCGTGCATTTCTTTTTGCTTTTATACCCCTTGTGCCTACAACCCTACTCCCAACAAAGCATGTACAACACCATCCAGTGATTGCATCAATACTATTACATACATCTGGATCTGGGCTATACTCCACCTATGTATAATGAGATTTAGAGGACACAAACCGATTACTGGACTTTTACACAAATTAGGCCATATGTATCTTTTTTAACAATGATGGTATATTTCCAATCTACTTGAAGATGGTCATCTGTGCATCATTTAAATTGGTTGGCTTGATCTCAAGGGAGTCTACTATGATTTAGATGTAACCCTCTTGTCTCCATACAGGGGGTACTGGGAGATTGCAGTTCACTCATGCAGTTCCCTTTGCTTTGGGCATTTTATTAGCAAATGCTGTTTTTCAGCTTACTGATTGTAACTTATAGTATATTTCTTCTTCACAATAAAGTTGAGCTGGATTTCTAAATATGAACATTGGTATGATCAGCCAGTGAACTGTGATAATATAAAAAAAATTATTGATACACAAAACATCAAGATAAAATGATTGTACAACAATCATCTCATATGAATGTATTGAAAGGAATTGCATGTTATTATGTTGCTAAGAGCCATGGTAAAGATATATGCTTCTCAAGAGGTCATGCTCCAGTGCAAACATACATATTAGTTCATGAAAAGATCATATGAATAAAGAAAATATACTCAAATATATAAAACACAACTGTCACAATCATTCTAAGGATTTTCAAAATGGCTGACATCATTTTATTTCATGCTGAAAATTGCAGAAAAGTTCCATTTTTGCACAACGCTTGGTCCTTACCTAGATTTTTACATATCTCAAGAAGTACCTTAGAAGTACACTATTCCCTCAATACATATAACTTTCTAGGTAAGAATCAAGCGTTATATGAACAAAGCAAGAGTTTATCATGACCTTCCTCTATCTAAAAAGAAGTAGGTCAACACAATTGCAAACATAACTAACCCCTACTCAATGACTATTGAAATATGACTATTGATATATACAAAATATTAATCCAATGAGTGTATAGAGTGACACAATCAAACAATGGGACATCTGCCAAGTTGGGTTTATACATTCTGGAGACATTTACTGAGACTGATTAAAAATTCACATTTTCACAGGAAGTGATACATACCTCCCAAATCAACCAAAATATACTTATATCAGTAATCTTGAATGCTTTTTATTGCTATTTCTTGAAAATATACATATTTATCTACAATTTGATCCTACATATCAAGGATATTAACGACATTGCATTTTTCAAAAAATGTTAAGTGACCCCAGGAGTGTCTATAGCCATTCGTTCTTTGGGTAAAACATAAATATTTTAAAATTGCCTGTTTTTCATCATTATTACTTTGATCTCCAAACCCCAAACATTGAGTGTTACAAATTGTTTCAAGTTAAAGTATGCCTAATTTCATGAGCAAACTAGTAATCTTGTTGGATATTTTTCTTTGACAATGCCTTATCTAATTCATCTATATACAAACTACTAGATTCCAAATGCTATTTTACAGGATGGGTGTTCATGAAAGTAACACTAAACATCAATTTTGTCACAAACTGAACAATGCAGCTAATTGAGTCTCCCATCTAAGCAACAGAGCCTCTTTTAATATATTGTAATTTCAAAATTGCCTCTAATTCAAGTTCTTCAATCAAATCTAAAATGGACACAACTGGTAATATCTTTATACCATATGAGTAGAATGTTTGTTTCTTTCAAATTCATGCTTTCGTTAGAAACATGGATATCACTAATTCATAGTTTTGATTCATATTTAAAATGGTGTGCATTATATACTCGTATAAGGTTTAATTAATGGGAAGTTTTTGATACAGGGAAATACAATATATCTGAGGGAAATACAATATACCTCCCCGAGGGGTTGAGGGTAGAATATTGTATTTCCCAAGGGTTATACCTTGTACCCAAAATTATTTATCATATAGTAAAATACGAAAATATGAGAAATTGCACAGAATGAAATTCCTGCAGGGGATTACTGAGCGGGTGATAAACCTGGCGATACATAGAGATTATCCTATATGAGGTTCAGGATATTGGGATTATCCCAAGGCAAATATAATATATCTGCCTGAGGGCTGAGGGCAATTATGACGGAGTGGGCAGATATACTATATCTGCCCGCTCGGAGCTGGACGTAAAGCTATATCTGCCTGCTGATGAAAACATAAGTTTTTACAAACCTGCATAATGTACCTGAAACACGACCAAGTATGGGATAAAGCGGGATATGCAGTACATGTATATCCCCACTCACCAAAGGTATCAATTACATTCATGCATTTTATTTACCTAACACTAAGTATAGGATAAATAACTTTTACTGACAAATTGTATATAAGTACATGATTACATTAGTCACAACTACTCACTAAAAGGTTAACTTATTGCATGAAGAAATGTAATTCTACATGAAGATTTCAAATATGATATCACTTATTTGACTGAATTTTGAATTTTTAATGATGTAAAGCAAGATTATTTCTACTTGTATCTAAGTCTATTTCATTGTATAAGTCAACAATGAATAAGGCAAATACATATCACTGGCTTCCCTGATTCATTTAGATTCCTTGCACTTTTAAAATCATCAATAATTCATATAGGGTTGAACTATCGAATAATGAAAACGTTGCAAATGATGTGATAGAAGTTTTTATACTATTTAGCTTGGAAATATTGCTGATATAGTTTTAATGTGATTTTAGGAGGTTAAATGTTCTACTGAGGAACTTTGATTATATTCAATTTTCTATGATCTTTAACTTTCTGAAAAAGGTCGGGCTAAATTCTCATTGAGACAATGTTAAAAATCTTAATGTCGACTTCCTAAATGTTGAATTCTTTTGATTGTCATGAATTTAAGGTTCACACAAAATCTGAAGATTATCTAGTTTCAAATACAATCTGAATCTCATTAAGTTTGATGTGAAAGCAGTTTTACTTAAATCCAAAATAACAAATATGGTAAATCAATATGTGTCTATGGTAGATGCTAGCATGTAGTCCAACAAGCACAAGTGCTGCCATCTACCTATCCATTCATCAGTTTAGCACCAAATAAGGTCAGTAGTCATGGTAAAGCTTTTGTACCTTGTCTATGGTAAAAATAAATCAAACAGAAATGTTAACTTGACATGATTGGTAATGCCCACCTTGAAGGGTTTAGGGATGAAGGGAAGGGTCAGGATAACACTTATATAAAATATTTAAAGTGTCTAATAATGATAATGAACATATTACAATGTTACACAACATAAGTAGATGCTAAGTAAATGTCAATTGTCGTTAGTATAATATGTATTTTTCGTCTAATGCTGCAACAAGTACACACATACCAAAAAGTGCCACGCCCACTTTTCCCTAAAAGCAGCTATGTGCGACCATATTTGATAAATATTATTGATTTATAGGATCATTATGAAAACTTTTCAGTGTTTAAATGTTAAAATATACATATTGATACAATTTTTGACAAAGTAGCAGCCATAAAATCCAAACAGATTTGCAAATATTTCACTTTGAGATCAAAAGGACACATTTGGGAGGGGGTCAAATTGAGACTATTTCAATATATAAATACTGTTTCTATGGTAACCATATCAGTTAGAGATTGGAAATTTCTGGCACTTACTAACCATAACATGCCCTACCCAATATAAAACAATGAATATCTGACATGCATTAGTATTCTTTTTATTGGGTGGTATTAAAGTACCCCCATGGTTTTTTAAGGGTAGGGGTATAAATTGGTCTGAGGGCCGTCTGCCACCCTTATAGAAAGTCCAACTACCCAGAAAGTGTCTAGTATCATCATACAGATGGTTTGAAATAGGTTGGAATGTGTAACCTTTCATGTAAGGAAGGAGTTACAATTATCAGAGTGGGCCGTAGTCTATTAAAAATAACTCTTGTTGAATGCCAAACTGTAAAATTAGCAGTTGCAGCGGGAGTTGCAGTCAGAGATAATGTTCTAGCTAATGATTTAGGGGGTTGAGGGTAGATATTTTTGAGGGTATAAAATTGATAAAAGTACTGTATGTTAATTTTTTTTCATTGATAGATCTGCCTTGACGAGACTGCTTGCACCAGGAGCTTGGATAGACAAAAACATGACATTAGGCCCCGTTGGTTTCATCACACTACTCAGCCGTGCCTGGCCTAAATGGAGACTTAATATTGAGGGGACTTTACCTAATGATTTACAAGATAGAGGAGTATGTGGCTTACATTTATGTGGCATGTTAGTGTGTTGTGCTTTCATGTTATGTCCTGTTTTTTAAAGTGGCTCTCTATCAGATTTTTATATATAACCAAGTAAATTTTAAAAAGGTTAACAAAGTTTAATTATTATTAATATGTGTGTAGTAGAATGCTTTTGATCACCCTACTTAATATTTGTTAGCAATTATTTCTTTTGTGTCTAGTAACAAAAAGTGTAATACATTTCTTCTGTTCTAATTTAAGGTAGATGACGAGAATGCCTTGCCCAACTACCATTACAGGGATGATGCTATGTTATTGTATAAAGCCATTGAGAAATACATCAGGGCTGTTCTTACAGGGATTTATGATTCTCCTGAAAAACTTGTAAATGATTATGAGGTTCACAACTGGCTGCAGGAGCTCAGGTCTCCACCAGAAGGACCTGGATTAAATGTAAGTTCAAACTTCAGTATTGATCAGGCCAAGCTGTATTCTTGATTCAGTCACAGATGGAAATGGATCTTTGTTGTTTTTCAAACCTGTCCAAAGGGGAGGGTTGTTTGGGGCGACCATCCCCCTTTTTAGAGATTTGTATTTAATGATGCAAATATTACTCTCAGATATGCTCAGAACTCAGAATCACATTTTTTCTGGGGGACATGTCTCCAGACACACTTAGCTTGTGGCGCTACGTACAGTGTATAGTACCCTAGACGTTTTCGAGGGTGTGTCGGTAGCACAATCCATTTATAGGCAAAGGCCCGGGGGCAAAGGTCACCCCCCCATCTTGGGAAATCCTTCGGACTGGCCTGCAGTTATTCGAATGAAGGCAAAGGGATAAGTTATAAGTTGAAGCATCAAAGAAATCAGAATGATTGAACATTGCAGTTTAAACTAAACTACAAGTCGAGTATATGCTTACTTATGATTTTGGTAGTCTAGATCTTAGGCACACAGCAGATCCTCATGTTTTTTTTTATATCTGCAATACAATAATGAAACAATGGTGAATAAATGCAAACTTCAAATTAATTTTTAATTTTATGCACATATTTATTCCACAGGGCCTTCCTGAAAAATTAACATCAGTTGATGACATCTGCGCCATTGTGACACCATTGGTATTTCAAGCAAGCGTACAGCATGCTGCAGTGAATTATTCACAGTATGAGGAATATGCATATCCACCTAACTTTCCATCTTATTTGGAAGGTCTTCCTCCCAGGGATAAGGTAAACTATCAATTTACATATTCTACAGGGTGGGCTAAAAGATTTCCATGATTTTAATAATTCAAACTTTTAATAATGCATTGATTTTTTAAATGTTTTTGAGTTAAATGCAAGAATCACTGCAATTGTTACTGAACTTGGATAAATCAATCTTAAAGGGTTTCTGAATAGGAAAGGGTAACATACACTAGGAGTCGAAATGAAAATATGATGACAGTTTTCCTTATGTCACCACCAAAAAGTGATGGCATATTGTTATGGTCTCCGTTTTTTTGACAGCAGTTGTTGGTTGATTGTTGGCGGTTGGTGGTTGGCAGTTTGCATCTGTAACAAATTCTTTCAACTTCCAATAACTTAACAAATACTGTTTATACTGACTTCAATTTTTTTCAAAATCATCTACAAGTTCAGAAGTTCAAATCTGACTTTTATTTAATATTTGACCTTCAATGACCTTTTCAAGGTAAAATAAGGTCGAAACAGCATTTTTTCAACTTGCTTCAAATCGACCAATTTTTTTAAAAATCATCTGCAAGTTATCAGAAGTTGTAATCTGACTTTATAGATTTGAGATTTGACCTTCTCAAGGTCAAAAAAGGTATTCTTACAACTTCCAATAACTTAACAAATACTGTTTATACTGACTTCACTTTTTTCAAAATCATCTACAAGTTCAGAAGTTCAAATCTGACTTTTTATTTAATATTTGACCTTCAATGATCTTTTCAAGGTAAAATAAGGTCGAAACAGCATTTTTTCAACTTGCTTCAAATTGTCCATTTTTTTTTCAAAACCATCTACAAGTTCTCAGAAGTTCAAATCTGACTATAGATTTGACCTTCAATGACATTCTCAAAGTCAAAAAAGACTGGAGCTTTAATGACCTTCTCAAGGTCAAAAAGGTCTTAATCTTGCTTCAAATTGACAATTTTTTTTCAAGATCATCTACAAGTTCTCAGAAGTTCAAATCTGACTTTAGATTTGAGATTTCACCTTTAATGACCTTCTCAGGGTCAAAAAGGGCTTTTTCAACTTGCTTCAAATTGACCATTTTTTCCAAAATCATCTACCTGTCTACAAGTTCTCAGAAATTCAAATCTGACTTAAGATTAAACTCATAATATTATGAGCAATTAGGTGGTGACATTTTGTCATGTAATGCCTTGTATCCCAATTTTTGTAAATACATGTGTTTTACCTATACACGATGATGGATTATTATAACAATTGACTTTGCCATTATACTGTAATACATCATTTTATGATTTCTAGGCAGTGAGAAAAGAGCAGGACATTATGAACGCTCTTATAAGTAAATCTCGAACACTAGAAGTTGCTTTAATTGCAACTTATTTGAGCAGAACTGGATTAAACCCACTAGGACACTTTGAGGTGCAGTACAACCATGACCCTCTGTCTGTGAAAGCATTGGAAAGGTACATTATAATTAATATAAACTAATATGTTAGTTATTTTTATAATATTTTTGACATTAATGAGAAAGCAAAGGTACAACACTAGAAAAAATCCTATGATCCCAATAATCATAACAACTACTGTATCGATATCAATACAAAAAAGTATATGAAGATTTAAGTGTATAAAATCCCCATTATTAGGAAAGAATTTCTTTAGCAAATTGAAAAACGATGGACCATTAGTTCTGCTTTGTCTTAAATCATATCTAAACAAAAAGTAAAAGAGATAATTTCTTTCTTTGTATTGAATACCTCCTTTGTCGCATCTGTGCATAACGGATAATCCAAATTGAGCCACCATGAACATTTAAATAGATGGGGATGGGGACCCGTAGATAAATGCTTATACACTTTTACACTGGTCTTCTCTCCTACCTCCCTAATATAATGAATATTGAAACATCTGTTTTAGTTTCCGCAAAGAGCTAGCTGAGATTGAAGAAGAGATGAAAGAGAGAAACAAAACAAGAGACCACAAGTATTCATTGCTCTTGCCAAGTGTAGTACCTAATGCAATAAGTGTATAACCACATGGACAACATCTTGATGGACTTAATATTATATGATTTTTCTCAAACATGAATGCTATTTATATTTGTACAAAACACATTGGAAGAATATATGGGCTTTTTACAATAACTGATAAACATGTTTTAAGGTCATAACACAATGCTTTGTCTGTGCAGTAACAAGTTTATTATCCCATCGAACAAAGTTCGGAGGGATATAGGGAACACCTCCGTCCGTCTGTGCGTACGTCCGTCCGTCCATCAGTCCATCTGTCCATCCGGGCTATAACTCAAATACCGTTGGCCAGATTTTTTTCACATTTTGTACACATATACCCAATGGGGGTAGAAGTTCTGTATTTGACGTTTCAAAATGAAACATGTAGGCCAATTTTAGTTTAACCATTGTTAGTTTAAAATCTCAATTGGGAACACCATGTAAATAATCTGACTTCAAAAATAAGAAAATAAGTGGATGCATTTCAAAGACAAGAGACGTACTGTGAAACACACACAAGTTCAACTTGTATCCATTACAACTGTACCAACCATCAAACAGCTTTAGCATGAACCAGGCCATATGTCCGGTGTAAAAGGGTAGGAATTATGGTCCTACTCTCCATTGATTTATATGGTGACCTAAATACAACACTTTTCCTCATTATGTTATACACAATTAGGGCAAGTAAGGTCCGTAAAGAAAGGGGACCATAAGCCCTGGGGACCATCATTTCTTTCACACCGGGAACTGGAAAAAATCGAGTTGAATACACCAAGATTCTAATCCCTTTACTTGGTATATCAACTCGATTTTTTTATACATATTCCCGGGCCTATGAACCAGGTGCTACTAAAACCCCAGTCAGGCTAGCCTTTGCTTATTATCATAAATTATAAATCAGTTTAAGGTAAAGCTAAAGTTAATCAAAAGTATAAAAAACGGCAGCCATATTTTTTTGGTAAAGTCACAAAAATCGGTTTTCCTTATATGTGAATGCATTTCCTGACTAAAGAGATATGTCAAAGGAAACTTCACATTTAAACGCATTTTCATAACTATAAATTGGAGGTGCATGGGTCCCCAAAGCTAGCATGAAGACCATGAATTGAAATGAGGCTAACTTTTGAAAGTTTCAACGAGTATGATTGCAACAGTCGCACATTTGCATGAATCCAAAGTTTCCACAAATCATCTTACCTTACCAAGGAGCATCAAAGGAGCATGAAAATGTGCACTTCTTGCTTTGTTAGAGTATGATAAAGCTCAAACCATAGTTTCTTATAAATATTTCATGTCCACCATTTTGTTTGCCGGAACATCCTTGATGAATCCTCATACAAGTTTTGTGACTTCACAAGTGGCATGGATTATCACTAGTATATTATATCTATAACAGTATAATTATCTCGATAGATACATGAATTTAATTGAGGCTTTATAAATGATAAACTATGGATACATGAGTGAGGATTACTTTGGACTAGAAAATAGTCTCCGCAAACAAAATGGTGGACATGAAATATTTAGAATTAACAATGGTTTGAGCTTTATTTTACTCTAATAATGCAAAAGGTATTCATTTCTATGCTCCTTTGATGTTCCTTGGTAAGGTAAGATGATTTGTGGAAATTTTGGAGTTTTACCCCCCTTTCACACCAAACTAGTTCTTACCCGTTCTTGCCAGTCCTACGAAACGTCGTAAAACGTTGTAGCTACGTTCATTCCATTCGCACACCGTTTAAAACCAGTTTTGAAGAACGCAGTGGCAACTTGCTTGGTGTGATAGCTATATTTTGCTAACTCGTTGATAAATACGCTCTTAATCAGTTTAAACCCGTTTGCAATTAGTTCTACCTCGTTCTCAATACGTCCTCACTACAGTTCAACTCGCTGTAAAAACTCCCTAGTAGGATTGAAGTACGATGGTTCCGTTCGTAGTACGTTCAGCTCGTCGTTAGTAGGTTGTCACTCGTTCTAATTGTAGAACTTGACGACCAAGAGATAATTTTGAGCATATTCTAAGTTCTAGAGGACCTACCCGTCCGAGTACGTGCGATGAAGTTTGGGAATAGCCCCCAAACGGTTCTAAGTACGTCCAGTCCGTTCGTACACGGTTGAAGCCCGTTTTCGAGAACGTAGTGAGAACTAGTTTGGTGTGATAGTAGGGTTACAAATGTGTCTCTGTTGCAATCCTACTTCTTGAAATTTTAAAAGGTTATCCTCACATCACTGTCTCCATGCTAGCTTTAGGGACCCATGATCCTCCAATTCATAGTTATGAAAATTGTGTTTAAATGTTTTCTTTGACATGTCTCTTTAGTCAGGAAATGCATTCACATATAAGGAAAACCTCCGTCCGTACGTCCGGGCAATAACTCAAATACCGTTGGCCCGATTTTGTCCATATTTTGGACACATACCCTATGGGGATAGAAGTGCTGCTCGAAAGCCGATTTTTAAAACTGCCGCTAATTTAAAAATGGTGGCCATTTTAGTGCAGATTTTACAGTAATTTAGGTGCAATATGTAAAACTGTAATAGCAATATGTTTTAAATGTAAAAAAAATATATAGGACATTAATAAAGCTAGAAAGCTAGATATTAAAGAAGCACATGGCAGCCATCTTGACACTCTTGGTAGAAGGCGGCCATTTTGAAAAATACCAGTGTCACTCAGGTACATTTGCTTTACGAGGGGCGTACGGTGTCCATAGCTTTACAAAATCGATACAGACGATCTACAGTCTTCATCGTACTGCTTATCCCTATATTTTATGCTGCATATTTCTTTCGATTTTGGGAAGGTACGTGTTCACCGTACTTTTGTCGCCGAGATCCAATGTGACATAAGAACAGACACGGGTGTGGAATTCTTAAAGACCTCGGATGGGAGAAGTTAGCTGAACGACAAATATATAAAATGATATTCACACATCTCTTATAATGTAATAAATGCTTCTGAGCAATCCTCTTCAAATATTGTTTGGCCAGATGTGGGTCCCTCGCACCCACTGAACCCCCCCCCAATCTTGGCTCGCGGATGGGAAAGTAACGCATATAGTATTTACAGAATCAAATTTCAAAACATTTACCCTTCCAATAAATAATGATATTATGTTTTGAGAAAAGGAAAGTTCTTTTTTTAAGAAAGCAAGTCTTACATTCTAAGAAATGGGGTCACCATGTTTTTTTTACTATACTGAAAAGCAATGAAATAAGCGAGAACCATGATTTTATTACACATGGAAGTTAACGCGATGAAAACTTAATCAAGGTACATTTGTGGCTTAATCGCAAAATTGAAAAATGCAGATCATACGTGAAATAAGTTGTTTCCCTTGAAATAATTTAGCATTCGGTCATCTTTACGACTAACACTGAAGTGAATCAATAGGTAGGCCTAATGTGTTCCCCGGGTGTGTTCCCCAAGTTTGCAAATATTTTTCAATATATTTGTTACATAGTATGTCAAAATCATGCAGGGTAGATGCAACTGAAAATCACAGGGGAACTTACAGTGGTACACAATATATCCATAAACGCAAATGATGGTGAATCTTACTTAGTTTGCACAAAGCTATCTCCTGAGAGATCTATCTAAAGATGGCTATGTGCAAATATAGTAAGGCGAATCCTGGACGATTGCTTTATTTACATGTATCACATTGACAGATTGACGCCATTTTAGGGAAAATGGGAAAAGTTAAGTACTATACCAATAATTTTTTCGTATTTTGCGTCTATTTTGATTTCCAAATGAATGATGGTACACACAGCCTTCATCTAGTAAAAACTTATTTTACTTCCACTGTTTGCCACTTTATAACAACTGCGAGCGTGACGAGCATGCTGTTCGCTTTAATATCAGTAATGTAATCGAAACACCACTGACAGTGACTAGATATAGCAGATTACAAAACATGATTACTGAATTCTGGAATTTAACCATTCAGTCCAAATGTGAAACCAATAGAGGGTGAAAGGTGATTGCCATTTACAGTCGAGCAGTTCAGTGTGAGTGTTGAACCCTTAACTTGTTGAGATTGTATTTTCAACCTGACGCATATCAAGGAGTGAATTACCCATTCAACAAATATCGGAAGATGGGACAGGGCGGCTCACGTGATTATGATGTCTTTGTAAAGACTGGGGATAAGAAGGGAGCAGGAACTGATGGCAATGTATGTAAAATATTTGTACTGTTTTTAAATATACGTAAAATATTTGTACTGTTTTTAAATATATGTAAAATTATTGTACTGTTTTTAGATACACGTAAACTATTTGTACTGTTTTTTAAACATACGTAAAATATTTGTACTGTTTTTTAAATGCTCATTTACTGTCTTTAAGGCCTGTCGATAAAGATCTATTGTTTTTATAACACCACCACAAGTGGTGACATATTTTAATAGTCTCTCCAACTTTTTTTATGGATGTTGCTCGGCGGTTGGTGTTCGGCGTTCGGTGATCGGCGTCTCTAACAAATGGCACGTGGTGACATTTTGCATGTTAATTCCTTCTTTATGATTATAATCAGAGGCATGAATACACGTAAAAGTACCTAGAAGTTCTTGATATTGAATGTTCAAACATCAGCATTATTTCTGAAATATTAAGCGATGTGTGTTGAATTTAAAGATATTGTATTAATATGCTCCTATTAATATTGAACAGCACAATCGATGATTTCACGTACAGAGAGCTGCTGTCTATCCTCGAAGTCCACATGATCATGCATAGATCTAATATACGAATTTCAAAAACCACACAAATAAACAACGGTTACAAATTCATAACCTACCTGCCGTGAAATTAAGATTATTTTGAAAATGAACCTTGTTAATTCCATGTGTTATATACAGAGTGACACAAAAATGCCACCCACATAATTTTGAATAACTGTTTTGTCTCTATGACATCTGGGCACATAGAGAAGCTCCACAAGAAGTTTCAGATGACTAGCCCAACTAGATGCACTTTTATGAGCGTTTCAAGATTTGCACTAAATATCGTCTATTCTTTTGAAGGCACACCTGGATTCTAACACCTACCTTTTGTAACATAACTTTGTAAATACTAATGATTTTTGCTTTAACATTCAGAGAAATGAAGTCCATTCAATTAAACACAAAATGATATAGATGTCATAGATAAAATCATTATAACTTATTTCCAATATTATGTTACAAAAGGTGGATACTGAATACATAAATAGAATCCAAGTGCCTGCAAAGTAATATATGACACATCTTGTACCACTCATAAATGTGCATCTAGTTGAGCTAGTCATCTAAAACTTCTTGTGGGGTTGCACCATGGATGCTAGTTTCAATGTGCCAAAAATAAGTCAGAATTTTTTCCGGCAAAAAAAGTTATGCAACATTATGTGAGTGGGTGGGATTTTTGGTGTCACGCGGTATTATTGACATTTATTTATATACTAATAATCGAAAGCACGCAATGAATACCCAATAATTCCAGGTTTATATCGCATTGACTGATGAAGATGGAAAACGGTCCAGTGATCTTAAGCTTCATGATCGTTGGAAGGATTCTTTTGAGTTGGGACAAACAGATACGTTTCCATTGGAAAACTGTCCTGATTTCAAACACATCACACAGCTTGACCTTTGGAGAGATAAGACAAACAGCAAGGATAGTTGGTAAGTACCAATTAAATATTTTGAGCACAGTCAGAGTTTAAAGAGTTACATGGTAGTCATTTAATGATTTGTACTTGCCTTTGAATGAGAATAATAAAAGTTCAAACAAATGACAGGTTGTGACATTTTGCATGTAATACCTTTTTGAGATGTATGTTGAGAATATTTCTTTTCCAATGTATGACGAGAACTTTTTATTTTGTTGCGACTTGTATGTTGAAAAATGATTTGTTGCGATGTATGTTGAGAAAATGATTGTTTTGTTGCGATGAATGTTGAGAAAATTATTATTTTGTTGCGATGTTTGTTGAGAAAATGATTATTTTGTTGCGATGTATGTTGAGAAAATGATTATTTCGTTGTGGTGTATATTGAGATTTTTTTTGTAATGTATGTTGATAATATTGATTTTGCAAGTATCAGTGGAAGAGATTTTTACTTTTGCAAGGTATGTTGAGAAAATTGTGATTGAGAGGTTCAAGGACAAGGACCGGAGTGTATTTCCCATACATCGGTGGGTTCCAGCAGGCTTTTCCATCAAACTCCAGGAATATGACTCATTACTACCACAACAAGACCCTGCGATTGAACAACGAAAGCAAGAACTGGCAACAAAACAAACTGAATATCAGTTTAAAGTGAAATTGGAAGGAGGACTTGCACAGGTATTTTAGCAAAAATTCCCCCACCTATGGAACGATTTTTATGCTAAATGTTAAAGTGAGTTTAAAGCCTCGAAATGTAGTTACTTTAACCAATTTGAATTTTGTTTTTGAAAAATGAGTTTGTAATATTCTTAAATATAAACTATATATCTATATGAAAACATTAGATGTTGTAGTTTAACATCACGAAAAATATTTAAATATATGTTGGATTTCGACTTTCATGTCAATCTTACGTCGTAAATTGACAGTGTTACCACATGTTAATTTTACTTGTTATTCTTATGTTGATGTTAATATTACATTTCATCGCGTTGAGATGAACCATGAAGAGCAAGAAACTGTGAACGTTTTGGAATTTTATTCGAACCCAGTTTTTCGCATTGAATATTAATAACTGTCACTGGCAGTCCAGAATACATCATTGTATTGGTTCTTATTTGGAAAGAAACATTTAGAACTCTCTTATGAGCACCATGTCCAATCTATCCTTCTACCTTTTTACATGTCACTCTACTATACCTCGCATTTGGTGTTCATGAGCAACCCATTTGGCTTATCAGTAATGATTATGCTATTTGTTTTATGTGTCTGTTCCTTATGAATGGTTTATCGGATGGCTGTTAGATGTTAATAAGGTACCTTCAAAAATATAACAAACAATACACTTAGACAAACAGAATATCTTATGCATTTCTAGGGGTTAGGTATAGTAGAGTGATACACTTCTCGGAGATAATTTTGCTGACACTTTGTGCAAGAATTCTTTACATCTTGGTTTTGTTTACATTCATGGTTACAAAATGTTATGTTTTGTTTTAGATAAAACAGTTGCCAGTGAATGAACTTTTTACAAAGGACTTTGAGGTAATGTCTCAGGTTTGACAATGGAATGTAGGTTATCACAAACAATTTTAGATGGTTAACTATCTTGAATTATGACTATTTTCGAACTATCACTGGTACTCACCTAGTTACGCTGACGATACGTCAGCGTAGCAAGATGGAAGAACTTCCGGGCTTCGTTTTCGGTAAGATATTTTTATTTCTCGATTTTACACCACTTATAAGTCAAGTTGTGGACAATAATTTGGCTCAAAGTTAAGGAAGATAGTTTAGTTTGAGAATATGCACGCGGTTCTATGTTTGGTATATTAACGAAGACGCAGTTTACATATTTAGTCCCTCGCTTTTATGGCTGGCCATCTGGACCAATGTATCGTCATACTTTTAACGCCGTAAAAACGATTTTATACGTCGTAAAGAATTACTTTTACGCCGTTAAAAACGATTTTGTACGCCGTTAAAATTCAATTTGAACGGCGTCAAAAATAATATTTAACGCCGTAAAAACGATTGTTTACGCCGTTAAAAATTACTTTTTACGCCGTTAAAAATTATTTTTTACGCCGTTAAAAATTACTTTTTACGCCGTTAATGACAAGACCCGTCGTATTTCGCTTGTCTATAACTATTGGTACAATTGATAGATGTCACTTGAAAATGAATTATTTATACTAGAGAACAAGATAGAGAACTAGAAAGAAGCTTTTGTTACGTTGACGATCTTCATGAATATTGCCAATGTGACAATATTCATGAAGATCGTCAATGTGTAAAATTAACTATGAATGACTTCTAATTTGATGATGCCCTCCAAATGATTTCAAATGGATGATTTACTGTTTTTTTTGTAACGTGTTCACAGTGGTGTTAGTATTAAAAATGAAATAAAGAGTTCTATACTAACTCTGCTTATATCATATTTTATTAATTCATTCTATTTCAGTGGGGTATGAAAATGGATATAGTGAAAGCTAAACTTTCCTCGAAACTGCTTGATATAATGGTTGGAAAGTTCAGTTGCTTAGATGATCTGAAAAATATATACGGCGCACTGTTTAGGATTCCAGAGGTAAGACTAAGACAATAAAAATCTCAGCATTGGAGATGATCATTATCAATATGGCATGGCTATGCTTAAAACATTCCCGTTAAGAAAATGTGGTTCATTTACTTCTAGACTATGATACGGCACTACAGAACATTTTTTGAAAGTTGCTTTTTTTGCTGAGAATTACTGATACATGTATATTGATCTTATTGACAGATTTGCATAAATATTGACAGGGAATGCATGGGTGGACGGAAGATGAATCATTTGGGGCACAGAGACTGAAAGGATGTAACCCTTCTGTCATACGACTATGTCAACAAATACCAGACAAGTAAGATATCCATTGTATTAATATCGTTGAAATCTAATAAACATAAGGTTAGAATGTGCACTATTGTTATTCCACTTATTGTGAACAGTTTACCTACAGATCCCACTTTACTATTGTCAACACATCAAAGTGAAAAATATTCCTGGTAGCATACAATTGTAAATTTCGCAAAGTCTGTTCTTCCTTCTACAACAAAAACCTAACTGATATTGTGTCATTTTGACGTTTCAGGTTCGCAGTTACAGCAGAAATTGTCGAACCTTTTCTTGAGGGACACACTCTAGAAGAGTGCCTTAGCAACAAGAAAATCTACATCGTAGACTACGAGATTCTTGATCGTGTTATGCAAAACGATGACAGATATGTATGACGTTATTATTATCGTATGTATAAGCCCAATATTTAAGCATAATTAAGTGCGAAAAGGAGAACCCAAAGAGTATCCATTTTCACAGTTTCTAGACAGAGATGTCACAATCACATATTTCAATGTTTCTTATATCACATTTAAACTTGTCATACATGATACCGTTTACTGTATCTGCCATTTTAAATTTTATTATGCCATTTTTTCATACAATCCCATATTCTTAACTAACGCTATTGATCTCTTTGTATGTCCTCTAGTTATGTGCACCCCTTGGGTTGTTTTATGTAAATAGCAGAGGAAAATTGTTACCAATTGCCATCCAGCTAGAACAGACCCCCTCAGAAAATAATCCAGTAAGTCTTTCAAATGCACTTTTGCCAATTATCTTGTTTATACTTGTAATCTTTTATTTATCATTAATCTCTCATTTTTGAGTAGTTATGTTTTATAACCATACAAAACATGTCATATGTGACTGTAAGGGTACGATGAATTCCAAATATAGCGTGGCGCCCAAAAAGCCAGATCGTCGCATATTATCGTTGTTGGAGAATAAATTACAATACCTTTATTTTCTAGATTTTCTTGTAACATCAAGCTGGTTTTGATTTGATATTAATATTTCTATACATACCTGTATCTCATTTATATTTGTACATTGTTCTTCACATTGCAGGTTTTCTTGCCATCTGACCCTGAATACACTTGGTTGTTGGCCAAAATGTGGTTCAACAACGCAGATGGTAACTACCATCAGTCTATAGCTCATCTAGGTAGGGACCATCTTAACAATACGCCATACCCGAGATACGTATCACATAAGCATTCTAAGCTACACTTCTAATATTAAATACGATCGATGACTTGAGATGTGAAGACGGATGGCTTCAGATTAGTTTTTATGTCACCACCAGAAATGGTAACATATTAATATAGTATCCAACTTTTTGTGGATGGTGGTCGGCTTTCGACGATCCGTGTTCGGCGGTTGGCGTCTGTAACAAATGGCAGGTGACATTTTGCATGTTAATGCATTGTTAAACCTTAATTTTCGATTTAATAAACATTCAGTGAAATATACTGCTTGGGATCAGAAGCATACAAAGCTTTTTTATCGCAAACATAAAAGGTGCATTGTTTATGACACGCGTTTTAATATGTTACACTAGTGGGGATGGTTCAGACTAAAAAACATTGCCCCTCCCCCACATACAAACACATCTTACTGTTGATAACTCATATAAATAGAACTCCATCTTTTTTAGGGACCACTCATATTTTAATGGAGTATGTTTGCATAGCAACCAATCGCCAGTTGTCTCCAAGTCACCCTCTGTACCGTCTATTATGTAACCATTTCTTGTACGTGATGAATATAAATACGTGAGTATTTTATTTACTATTTTTATTAGTGTTTGTACTATTTGCGCCATCATGAGAAAGCATGGCATTCTATATTAGCTTCTTTCATATTTCTAGTTGAAAGCAGAACGAGTATCAGTATATATGTTCACGGCTAGCGAATATCGGCTCATAAAACATGACACGTGAACCGGTTTTAACAAATGATATACGATTGACAGGCAGCGATATAATAATGTGAGAGATTGACTGAAGGAATAGGTTCTTAGTTTCTAAAGTGTAAAGAACCAATTAAAAGTTGACAATTAATATATCAAATAAACATTTGTTCTGGATATAACACGGGTGTTAAAACACGAATATACCACGAGCACATGCTTTGAGGATCCGCGTTGTTTGAACCTACCTCCGAGCACACTGATACATTAAGACACGTTACACAGTCATGATACCGCCGAGCAAGCTCATTGCATCATCGGGTCTGCTTTACCCCCGTGTATAAGTTACAGAATAGATATATAGCATATTGTATGCCAAATGATGAATGAAAATTGATTTGTAATATCATAATCAGAGGTGGCATTCCCGGACTAATGTCTGAGATGGATAAGAACCTGACTTCAGGATCTCGTGGTTTCATCACAATAAACAGCCGTATCTGGCCTAAATGGAGACTGAATGTTGAGGGAACTTTACCAAATGATCTACAAGATAGAGGAGTATGTATCAATGTTCCAACGTTTGGTATTACTATTAAATATTTTTTCTAAGTGTGTCTTTTTGGCATACTTTTGATGGAAGATTGCCTTCGACCAGAGTCGCTTCAACTTCCTTTAATAAGGAATAATTTTACAATAATTTGAAATGTCAAAATATTAAGATTGGGATAAAGGAGAGTAAAGGTTTAATTATTATTTAAAAGTATTAGTATCACGAAATTTCCAAAGCTTAAAACTTGTCAAATTGTTGCTCCTGTGCTATAGTATGAGCCAATGATGACCCAAACAAAAGATCGTGGATATAATTGACTACCACGGTTGCTTTGTGCTTTTAGGTAGATGACGAGAATGCTTTGCCCAACTACCACTACAGGGATGATGCTATGTTATTGTATAGAGCCATTGAGAAATACATCAGGAGTGTTCTTACAGGGATTTATGATTCTCCTGAAAAACTTGTGGATGATTATGAGGTTCACAACTGGCTGCAAGAGCTCATGTCACCACCAGAAGGACCTGGATTAAATGTAAGTTTAGACTTCTGTAAGGATAAGGCCCAGTCTTAATCTTTGAAGTCCAGCCTGAATCCTTGAAGGATTAGTTATGTGTATAGTATAAGCTAGATTCTTATGTTTTTCAATATAATATTTTGAAATCTTATAAATAAATGCAAACTTTTAATGAAATTCGCAAGTTTACGAAAGTATTTGTTTCACAGGGCCTTCCTGAAAAGCTGACATCAGTTGATGACATCTGTGCCATTGTGACACCATTAGTATTTCAAGCAAGTGTACAACATGCTGCAGTGAATTACTCTCAGTACGATGAATTTGCATATCCACCAAACTATCCAAGTTATTTGGAAGGCCTCCCTCCAAGAGATAAGGTATACGCACATGCTTTGACATAATTTTATTGTTTGGCCAAACTATATATACTGTATATCATATCGGTCCGTGAATTTTCCATGTGGCCATCTTTATTTGCCCACCCTATCGTTCCGTGAACTTTCCATGTGGCCATCTTTATTGGCCCACCCTGTAGGTCTTAAAGTATAATACAGTATGTACCATATACTTTCTAGAGAGCAAGAAATGAGCAGGATCTTGTAAACGCCCTGATAAGCAAAACACGAGTATTAGACGTTGCATTTTTAGCTGACTTCTTGAGCAGAACTGGATTGAACCCACTAGGATACTTTGAGGTTCAGTTCAACTACGACCCAATCTCAGTGAACGCATTAGAAAGGTAAAACATTATGAAAAAGTGGTATTGAAATTTAATCATATGTAGTATGACATACACCCCTCCGTAAGATTTGGCAACAGAACTTTCCAATATTGGATAGTGTGTCAAACCCAATTAATGTTTGACCTTTACTTTATTCCTCACTTACAACAGGTTATGATCTTGATCAAATCGAGAAATATAAACTAGCTTAAAAAGTGGTCCAAACATTTTGGAGGGAGTAAATGTGTGAGTCACATACCCACTGTTGTAACAAAAATTAAAAGTCTAAGTTTAATTGTTTTTGTTTTGAGTATCAGAGTATTGAAACATCTGTTTTAGTTTTCGCAAAGAGCTAGCTGAGATTGAGGAAGAAATGAAAGAGAAAAACAAGACAAGAGACAACACATATTCAATACTCTTGCCAAGTATTGTACCTAATGCAATAAGTGCATAAAGACTATAATAAGTATTTAAATTAAAATGTATATATGGACTCACTTCTCTTCGACTACTATACCTGTATAAAATTCTAACAAAGTATCGTAACTTATGCAATTTATTAATAAATAATGTATTACACGTATAAAGTATATAAACTGATATAGTATAGCCTCTAGCGCAATTAGTGCACAATGATTATGATTCTAAGTATATTAACTCCAACTAAGCTAAGTATAAAGTATAGTTCCTTAAAAATTAAAAAAGCTATATGAAGTCTGGTTAAGTATTGTAACTTATGCAACTGGTGGATAATTAAGACTACAATAACTTCAATAAGTACATATTACAGGGTGTCCAAAAAACAGGACCGTAAGAAAGTTGAATATCTCGGTCAATTTTACACATTTTGTTTGCCTCGAAATTTCTGGATTATTTAGTTCATTCAATGTGAATTTTGTTGTGAACGTTTGATAATAATCTACCAATTGAGTCAAAACATGGCCAAATCTGCACCTCTCCTCTCTATGCATGATTCAATCCGGCGAACAAGTTTATCCCAAGAACAATTGCTACTGTGGCTTACATCCTCTTGATGAAGTGTTACAGCATCCATTACATTCTGAACAATGCACTGCCTGGGTGGCAATGAGCAAACATGGAATCATCAGTCCTTTTTAGTTCGAAGACTGGAGGTCAATAAGCACCAAAAGGGGTATCTTAGGAGTGGTTTCAACAAGCCAATACCACCCCAACACTGCAAATGATATACTGAAATGGTTTGGGCAATGCTTTGGGGGTCAGCTCATCAGTCGCAGAACGCAAATTATATGGGCAGCTCATTCGCCAGATCTAAATCCCCCAGATTTTTATCTTTGGGGATTTCTCAAAGCCAGGTACTGTAGTTTTTGAAACAATAGACAGATTATCATCAAACTAATGAACTAAATAATTTAAAAATTTCAAGGCAAATTATGCAAAATTGACCAAATTATTCAACTTTCTTACTGTCCTGTTTTTTGGACAACCTGTAACTATGCAGTAAAACTTCTGTAATCTAAACACACCTGGACTGGGAAAATATGTTCCGATTAGTAGATGTTTACATAAAAAGGTTTCTTAATATGTGAATCAATGGGAGATGCATGTTACACGTACCCCCATAAATGTGGGGTCGAATTGGCGTTTTTCTTATTTTTTAAAATTCTAGTGCCAAAAGAATGATAAAATATAAGAAAAAACGCCAATTAGACCCCACATTTGTTGGGGTAGTTACACGATTTAAACCAAAAAGCGTACGCATGTTCGAGATGTTCAGATCAGTAAGGTTTTGGGATATACATGCGTTACTAAATTGTACTGTAAACATTATGAATATTGTACATATTAAACAATAAGTTCCCATGAAACATTTGATCTGATGGAATAAATATATATGCTAGTTTTAAACAAATCTGTTTATTATTTTCATCCTATCTTTACTCCCCCACCCCATAAAAAGAAATGTTACAGAAGTCAATTTCCCCGTGTTTGTGTTCTCTTCCTTCCACCTGATCACGTGTTCTTATAAATCTTATGATTCTGAATTATTGTATTGATGAATTTCTATGAAATTCTATAGAATTGATTGTGCAGGTCAAATGTATTATATCATTGTATATATTTGAATGGGATTAACCCAATGGCTTATTGGATTTGTATAAGACCTGTTCATGTACCGTGTTGACGACCAAGACAAACAACAGCCTGCCAAATTCACTCTAGCATTCCTCATGGAAAAATAATTCTGAGCTGTATCAGACATTTTTGTCATCTAGTTATGATTCTAGGATTTATATAAAGCTGTGGAAAACGTTGTTTATTGATAGCTTGTGATATTGAGTGAATATGACTGATTTAAAGGTAGGTTATTAACATACATTTACATAAATATTCTTATTAATTTTGAACACCGAATGTAACTGTTATTCTGGAAACACCAAATAACTTCACTTGATTTTAAAATTTGCTCTAGTATTAAATCTAATTCAACATATTTGTTTAATTATTTCAAAATACATAATTTGTTTCTAGAAGAAGCTATAAATTAATTTGATATTAAATTGAGTTCTCTAATGGAATGAAAGTACATTTATAACAAGGCTGAGAACAAACAAATATGAAAGAACAGCAGACAACAAAATACTCTTTAACATATATAATTATTTCAGGAGGAAGAAGAGGAGCTAATATTGCGGAGTATTTCAAGAGTGAGTACCAAGACTCCGAAACAGAGTGCCAGGTCTAGGTACGTCCGAACACCAGCATCTAAGCTACATAGTCAAAGGAAGTCCAATCTGAGCAGCCTTAGTCAAGGAGTTCTTATTACTCAATTGGCAGACAGTGACAGTGACTCGGATTATGACACTGACTTGGATGAAGGTTTGTGCCACAGATATATAATTATTTCATATTTTAACAATTGTAACTCATCCTATCAAATTATGTTAGCAACATATTATCACACTAGAGCATTCTGCGTCGCAAGACTGGAAGATTTTATTAGTGACAGGCAATGCGCCTATTTTTGAATGAAAAAAGACAAAATATTGTTTGAGACATGTCACTCACACAGTCAATCAAATATGATAAAAACTTTAATTTGGGATAATACTGAAGTGAAAAAAAAATATTTGCATAGAAAACAGCATTTGAAGTTCAGAGATTGAAAAAAGTGAATTACCACTTTTCACAAATAGTGTATGTTTTAAATAACTCTTGGATTAAAAGATGGCGTATGCTTGAAAATCCTGTCAAAAATGAATTGATAATTAATGCAAACAACAATGCCATCTTTCTATGGCATTGCTAAAAACTTGACATATATAAATTGATAGATCAAAAATATTTTGTCATGATCAAGTGTCAACTCTGATGTGGTCTGTTTGAGCTTTTTTGGTGTCAAATGAAAGATCGGGTACATCTTAATCCATTGGAAATACTATGAAGATCAAACGTGAGACTTCATTTACGCACTTTGTCCCTTTAATTACAAAAATTGACACAGTCAGTGTAATTGACCAACTTACGATGAATGCTAACAGGTCCCCACCCTTGATCACCTAACGTCTACTTCGTGCATTCGTTTAAAAATCCTTATTCCTAATCTACTACAAAAATACCAATGCAGTGTATATACATGTACGATACACAGATACTATATAGACCATGTAAAAAAGTTTCTACTATTTGTCAATATTTTGATTGTTTTGGTTTATATTCAATGAAACTTTATCACATAGATCCACATAGATGAATTTTATTATTTTTTATTATTCCAGATGAGCCAAAGCCACCCAGTCCAGAAAAAGTTATATATGAAAAAGTGTGTAAGGATGTGGGAGTGACACCTATAAGCTACTACTATAGACATATGAAAAATAAAGATTTTACTCTGCGCTATCGTTACCCTGGTGGAAAAGGGTCGAGAGCATTGTCCATTCCTATGCAGTTAAACAAACAGATTGAAAAACTAGATCTGACAGATAATTGTTTGGGACCAGGAGGAACAAGATGTTTTACTGCAATGTTAACAGAGAACACTAATATAACAGAATTGGTAAGTGAAACATACATGTATGCATGACAAATATATATCTAGAAATTGTACAATGAAACTTTTATATTATGAATTATGTGAATGTACGACGTGTTTTGCAATATTTACATGACCATTTTATTACTGTATTTGTTCTATTTTATCACAATATTATACATTAGATTACATTATTACTAAAACAATGAATGAAATATTTCAGAATCTTTCATTCAACAACATTGGAAGAAGAGGGGCTATTTTCTTGAGAGATGAACTTGTGGAAAACACAATTCTCAAGAAAGTGGATATTTCTGGAAATGGCTTTGGGGACAAAGAAGCACATTATTTTGCCGATATCATAAAAGTAAGTCTTTTATCATGAAATGTTCACACTATGAATGAAAAAGCACTGTTGTTGATAATCCAGGGACGATCTAATTATTGCAAGATAATACATCCATATTGCAATATTGCAATACATTTCTAACTTAAAATTAATTATGAATTATCTTGACATGTCTATTATACTTTAACATATTTAACCAAATCAATGTCGCTTCTTTAGTTTGTGTATCATATGATGTTGGAAGCATCTTCGTGGTGACATATTGTTATATAGTCTCCAACTTTTTTGTGGACGGTGTTCGGTGGTTGGCGTTCTGAGTTTGTAACAAATGGTAGGTACTGACATTTTGCATGGTAATTGTTAATGCCTTGTTATCCTATTTCAGGGCAACCACTACATTACAGAGTTGAACCTGAGTCACAATGACTTTTGTTCTGAGGGTGCAATATTACTAGGACCTGCAATAGGTAAGAGTTCTTTAATTGATATGTATACATTTATGAAAGTACAAATTATATATCATATCCTTATGAAAGTCAAATGTACATACCCTTTTGAAAGTGCATAATCTAAACTCAAAACTCACACATTTTTCTAGTTTCACAATAATTCATATAGTTGATTTATCCAAACCAACATTTAAGTCCAGGTTACTGATATGCAAAATCATCATTGTAAGATCAAATAAATGATTTATCCTTTTCTCATTGGTCAAAGCAAAGATAATATAATTAAGGAATAAATAATCCTGTATCATTCTTTATTGGAAATTTAAAAAACATGAGCGTATGTTCTCACCCGTTCTCATAATTCAAGAGAGCATAGCCACAGTATAGTATCAGGATTGGTTAGTATATAAATTGAATAAAGGATGATACAATGGTCTTTATAACAATTCAAATAAACTATCACTCCTTTATAAAAATAGCATTGTCCAGTTCTTAATGAAACCATAATGCAACATACACCAACAATGGCACTGTTTAGTTCATTATGAAACCATAATGCACTGTAAAATAATGTTTCTGCACATATACCTTGAATTAAGGCTTTGAGATACTCTAAGCTGATTGGCTAAGACACACTTAGCATATTTGAATTTCTAGTTTAATTCGTGTATTTTTTATTTGTAATCTTTTATTTCAGCTCATAATGGTTACATTGAGTATCTAGACTTGAGTTGGAACCACATCCGGCTGAAGGGGGCAGAAATCATCGCTGACAGTCTTAAGGTATCGTAACGTAAATTGATCCTGACTTTGATTGACACAACATATTTGGACCACGCCTCTGAAACTCATCAATATTCAATACAAATTCATTACGTTGTTTGTTAAGTTTATCATTATTTTTATGGTATGTTTTTAATGGTATTTTATGGTATGTTTTAAGGTATGTTTTAATGGTATTTTATGGTATGTTTTAAGGTATGTTTTTAATGGTATTTTATGGTATGTTTTAAGGTATGTTTTTAATTTTCAGACCAACAATGTATTGAAGGTGCTGAATCTTTCCAACAATGGGTTTGCCAACCAGGGTGCTATAGCAATAGGTTAGTATACACAGACAAAATATTAATACCTAGTATTTTGTCCTCCAAGGGTGCTCGTACGTCATTACACGTTAATTATTAGCACATGGGCTTCAGGGTAGCAATAAATGTACGGTATTCAAACTTTTTGCATAATAGGGAATAAAAACACCTAGTATACATAGACTTTACATGCTGAATGTGATGATAATAGAGGTCCTGAATCACTAACAGTTGTTAAATTAATTTCTTAAACATGTTGAAGTTTTGACCATAATGTATTGTAACTTATACAATGATCTCCTTTGTGCTACAGGTGAGTCTCTACAGATGAACAACACACTCGAAGACCTAGATCTCTCCAACAACCGCATTGCGCCGGGTGGAGCTATTGTATTTTCCCAGCACTTACATAGGAATACCGGACTAAAAATACTCAAGATGGGAATTAATCCAATTTTGTTCACAGGCGCAGTGGCAATAATCAAAGCAATCGCAACAAGTGCCAAGAATACTGTGTATAGACTGGATCTAACGGTATGAATTTTTCTTTAAATTGCAGAAAGGGATTTGAAAGAATGTTACACATGGAAGAAAAACATAAATAAACATTTCAATGTGTATAATAAAAAGATCCGTCCAAAAATATCTGCAAACTGATACAGTGAATTCATGCATTTCACCAATGTTAATGTGCATTTGTGAAACTGGTTATTAAATTCATAGAAAATGTTTTACGAAATTTTTGTCCTTGGTACAGTGGTTGGAGTCAAGAATGAATGCACTTGTCATATTTTAGATATCTTATTGCATAATTTTTATTTTCATTTCAGAAAGTGACTGTCCACCAAGAGTTTATGGACTGGGTCGCAGATCTCCAGTTACGGAGACATTTTGAAGTGAAGGTTGGTTTCTTGTCACGTGCCAAGGAGACGAAAGGGATGTGGCGCGAAAAAGTGAATATGATGAATCCGTTACTCGTACTTTGTATCTTCATGCGTGAACAAGGTATATTATCTATCATATTATCATATGCATTATCTTATGTCTTTTTTTACTGTTAAATTATTCAATGTTAGAATTTCTGATGAATTTTTATAATTTTTAAAACCACTTGAGTTGATCTTTTTAGAACATTTTGATTTCAGGATTAAGAATTCTTGATCTGTTTAAGAACATGGACAAGGATCACAATTATTCATTAACTCGCGATGAGTTTAAAACTGGCTTACAGAGCGTCCAGTTCCCATTGACGGAAGGGCAACTAGATGAACTCATGGAAATATTAGACACAGACAAAAACGGAGAAGTTGACATTGCGTAAATATCTTATTTTCATTTATTCTGTTGTTTGTCATGTTACGTGGTACACCAATCATTCCTCTGTAGTGGTCATCATCATCTCAGATATTTAGACCCATTTCTTGACTTGCGAAGAACAAGAAAACCACAATCCAATATGTGTCACTGTGTTTGTGATAGTTATGAAGTTAAGACTAATGGCTTTAAAATCCAGTAATCCAGTTTAATTCATGGTCAAAAACTTATATGTTTAGTATTTTAACAGATTTAGAAACAAAATTTATAATTTAGTTTCTAAAGGAAAGTTGTTTGTAATTTGAAAAATAGATTAATGCTTATTCATTTCAGTTTTTGGAGAGGTAGGAGGTCAAGCTAAAATGCATATTATCCTTCCTATCATTTTTTAAAAACCGCTTACTTATTTTTCTAGGGAGATTCTTGCGATCAACCGGAAACATGCCAATGTAAAGATGAAGGCCAACAAGTTAGTTGCTGCTGAAAAGGAACGCAAACGTCTTGAGCGAGCCAGAGCTAAGCTTCCAAAACTGAAATCAAACAATAATCTTGTAGTCATTGAGAGCACATTTGATGACGACAATGAGGATACTATGTGGGACACTTTAGAGGTTATGCAGCGATACTGAACTTAAACAAAACTTTTACATTAAAGTGATACTCACATTACAAGTTTTGCATTTTTTCCATTGCCATAATGTGATCATTGGGTGCATCATTTTTGCCCCTTATAGGGTGGTGACTTTAACTAGGGTGAGCGGTATGGCGATCACGGCGTAATGACTTTTAGTATTATGGTGAAAAAAGAGGAGGGAAAACCCCATGATTCAATTGATGACATACGACTTCCTCCTTCGCGCACCTCCTTTCCCCGAAGTACGTATATTTGTTTACAAAATGACGACTTTCATAAAGGAAAAAGAATTGACCTAGTTTTAAACCAATCAACGATCGACTCGCTAAACCAATCAGCGACGATGTCATCTCAATACAGATTTACATTATAAGCGTATGTCATCTTTGAACCCTGGGGTTTCTCCCCCTCTTTGGTGCAAAGTATTAGCCCATCATGCAGTCATGGATTTTGTACAGTGATGTGCACGATATTTATTATTGTTATGTGTAGCAAACACAATTTTACTTATGCATTGTGTAAAATATACTCTATGAGTAACGCATTTTTTAAATCTACATTTATATTTATTATTAATACTGTAGATCTCGTTTATATATTGCCAATTTCATGGTTTTGTAAGGAACTTTGAATAAATACTTTTAGTTATTAAAAAATGTGTACATGTGCAGTCGATCACACCCAACCCAGAGTGGTTCAGTTCACTTTCATATTTGTTTGTCATGGATTTGTTTGGATATCTCTTGGTGATTATTAGGCAGATGGTATACAGGGCGTATAATTATTGCTAATTTTTCTGACCTATGGCAATGACAATGACTCCATTGATATTACATCGTATGTTGATTATCACGAAATGTGGTAAAATGAGGTCAAATATGTTTTACTTTTGAAACTTCATGAACTTGATAAAGCAATGGGACAATAATTAGTAAAATGATCCATACATTTTGAACGCCCTGTACCATCGTCGCGCCAATTGCATTAGACACATTGTATTTTTCGAACGCTGTGCCACTGTCGTATCATTGTATGAGACACATTGTACTTTTATTATTGGCTACAGATGCAGGCAAATTAGTCTTTTTTCCTGGTTGGTAAAGCTTGTCTATGATCTGAAAACGGAAATTACTGAACTGTTAATTTTCATCAAACAAAATGATCAAGCACAGTCGAGACACTACCCTTTGCATTCGTTCGACGCGCAGGGTATCGAGACACTGGACGACCAGGTTCTCTACCAAACACAATGTCAATTCTGCCAACAAACGGCAATTAGAACGAACTAGATGTAGATTATTTTAGCCTGACTTAGATTATCATTCCCTGTGCTTCAGTTGACAGTTAAACTTTTAACATACTTACAGTGAGTGATTCTATGAAGTCAAGTGTCCCTGTGTTGTCTTTGTCTACCTCTTTAAGTATTTCTTGTACCTGTTTCTTTGTGAACATTGTGCTACTCGTTGTAAGCATCTTCTCCAACTCATTACAGTCTATAGTCTGAAATATCGATAGCATTCTCTGATTTATCAGTGTATCACTTTATCTAAAGCCCGGTATACACCAATGGGGCAAGTTGGGACCAATGGGGCAAGTTGGGACCTCCATAGACTTAACATTGCATGGGACCTTTTGGGACCTTTTGGGATTTTGCCCCATGAAGTGGGACTCCATGGGACTCCGTGGGATTTTGCCCCATCTTGCCCCATCGAGTCCCACGAGGTCCCATGAGGTCCCATGAAGTCCCACGTGGGACTCGGTGGGACTCGATGGGGCAAGATGGGGCAAAATCCCACGGAGTCCCATGGAGTCTCATCGAGAATGAACATGTTCATTCTTTCCATGGGGCATCGTGGGATTTTCGATCATATGACGTGTTGTGTGAAGCCCGACATACACCAATGGGGCACGGTGGGATTTGATGGGACTCCATGGGGCTTGATGGGACTCCATGGGGCACGATGGGGCAAAGTCCTCAAGGTCCCACAGGACTTCGTCGGGTTCGATGGGGCAAATGGGGATTCGATGGGGCAAGATGGGACTCGATGGGGCAAGTGGGATTTTGCCCCATTGGTGTATACCGGTCTTAACGCTTTGATGAGCCAGTATTTTAAAGGGTAATACTTGCTGTGGATCGCACAATTTATCGATAGCAATGTTCAAGACTCAGCCAAGGACCAGACGATTTGTGGGTAGTTAACATCATGAAACTTATATCGAGACCAGTAGGCCGAAGTTTTATGCCTGCATAAAGGAACAAGTGAATTAAATCTTCTTATTTTGCTTGAATTATTTTCACAAGAGCACGTTTTAAATAATCATAATTAATAAAAATAAATAAATTCAACCAAAGACTGCTCATAGAGTTTTATCCAGGGATCACTCTATAATTCTTAACACTTAGATCGACATGCATAACAATAGTGGCTAATCTTTAATGATACAGGGTGAACCAAAAAGAAGGTAACCCAAACAAATCTTAATAATCCAGTCATCCAGTATGGGATACAATCATATTTTGATAATTTTACACAAATGAACCTTGTTCAATGTTCCTTCATTCGATCAGGTTTCATTGGTCTACTTTAAATAGTCACGATTTTATGGTTATTTTACATAGCATACCAAAAATCACCAAATATGAACACCCACATTTTTTCCTTTGTGTCCATTTCAAATAAAACTTGTGCACTAACAACCCTTGAAGCATAAAAGAGTTAAAGCAAGACGATTAAGGAAAATGAGAGCCATTACCGACAAGATATATCCATGAGCGTGTAGTCAGAAAACTTCATCTGATGCGTTCATGTTTGCCTCCGAAGAGGAGAGTGGCTATTTGAGCATGTTTTGTAAAATGGCCGTAAAGTCATGACCATTTGGAATAGACCCATGAAACTTGGTTGAACGAAAGAACATTGAACAAAGGTTGAATTGTGCCAAATATGACTAACAACCCATGCTTGATGAGTTATTTATTTAGATTTGTTTGGTTACCTTTTTTGCTCACCCCGTACGTGTTATTCAAACAAAGTCAAGTTTTCCTTAAGCAAGTTTTCCATATTTATTATATATTTATTAACCATACTAAGCTTGTATTAGAAAATGCAACTATCGCCTGTCGGCTACCGGATTAACCTACTAGTACTTTAAATATGAATAGCATCTGCCACTATTCTATTCATATCTAAATGAGTTGGTCATAAAATAGTACGCTAATCCGGTAGCCGTCAGGCGTTGTAACTAGGTTAATCCGGTAGCCGTTAGGCGTTGTAACTATCGCCTGTCGGCTACCGGCTAACCTACTATTTTAAAGATAACTCAACTAATTGAAAGCCCTACTCACCCCGTCTTTATTTTCGTCTGCCTTGCAGAACTTTTTCTCAGCGTCAATGAGTACAGAAAGTCTCATATTTGGAAATAGTTGCGCCAAATGCTGCAACACAATCATGATGTACACATATCAGCATTTAATTAATAATGTACTCTTTGATTAACCAGACCCCTGGTCGTTTTCATCTTTATTGTGATTTACAAAGCAATTTGATATTTTCAGCTAGTTTAAGTCTTAGTCAAATAAATGGATGTTTTAATCTTATTTTTCAAGTTTTTAATTTTAAGATCTAAAACGAATTCTTTCTATATACTGTACATGGGTTATCTTATATGTATTGAGGAGGATTGAATGTTACGGTCCATCGTGCCACTGAACAGAGAGTAGATAACTTTAAAAAACTTGCAAATTTTGTAGAAGTAATTTCCAACAAACATTTGTCACCATCCTATAAAGTTTTAAAAATAAAATAATGTTTTCGGTGGTCTTACTGAGTAATATGTGAATGAATCTGATGTTATATGATCCATGCCTGGTATGATTGGGTGGTGCTCATTTGATGTCGGGGTAGACGCTGTTATTTGAATCTTTATTTTGTTTTTAACAGATGGTTGTTCATCTTCCTTGTTTGAATCTTTTTTATTCATTCCTTTTGCTTTTTTGGTCATCGTCTTTGTCACACTTGTGACCGTCTTTTTTAGTTCTTTTTCTTCTTTCAAGAGCGATATCTAAAACGAGTAAATATGTAAAAAGTTAACTTAAGAACTGCCCTATTTTTACCATTTCCCATCTGTGTCAAATACACATCTGGATATGCATGTATTCATACTGAAAAAGCAAAATCGATCTTTTTTCAAAATATCAAGCTTTCAATCTAAAATAACCGTTGGCTCCGCATCGAGTGCTTTTGCAGGTGTACTGTGTTAATTCTGTACTGATCTGGAATGGTGGAGCTGCCGGTTAATGTTATATAGCATTTAAACAGTTTGATGACGTTTTAGCTTTTTCTAGCAGCCTGATAGAGAAGCTATCCAACTACTACATTAAGCAAGAAGAGTAAAAAATAAACAAAGCCAAGAACCATACCTGACTCTTCAGTTCTTCAATTTCGTTATTCAGATCATAGTTTTTACTTTTATACTTAGTCAACTCATCGTTCTTCAGTCTCAACTCCTCTCTGGCTTCATCTCTTTCCCTAATATATTGTACAAATGTTGGGTCATCTTTTGGTATCGTAAAGCTATCAGGAACTTTATGTCTTTCTGGTGCTTTCACTCCAAAATGTTTGTCGAAGCTGTTTGACATTTCTCTAGCCTCATTTTGGCCGACAGATGCCATATTGTTGTTGTGTATAACTTCAATGCTTTCCTTTCTAAAATGGGGCAAAGTTGTTCTGCAGGCTGAGGGGATTGTTGTTTTCGTTATTTCAATCGTGTATTACTCACATAGCAACGCACACGTGTCTAAAAATAGTAGTTATTATATCCATTTGTCAGATTATTCAATATCAACAACCCTGCCCGAGATATGTCTTCATGTGATACGTCGTGTTAAATTAATGTCATATCCTGGTTTTAAAGCATCAATACGATTCGAAACTATGTCAACTTTCAGGACACCTACTTTAGTTGTTTATTCTCTATGTTGCTAATATAAATATCACAACTAGATACAATGAACCTGAGACAGAGTTTAATAATTGAACACAAAGGTCGTTATCTTTGGTGAAATTTTCATAGTACCACTTTACTATCATGTTTGATTAGTGATAACTCCAAATGGTGTTAACTTGATAAGATTTTCCTTATGCTTATTTCAAAAACTTTTTCAGATTGATTAATGAACTTGAAATTAATTTATCATATACTAAGTTCAACAAAAGTATTGAAAACGCGATATGATGGCGATTTCTGTGGGTCTGTGTCGATTTGATAGTTCATTCAGTTAAAATAATGTCTTATCACACATACATATGGCAGTTTATTTTGATTCCCTTATGGCTACTGTACAACTGGACCAAAATAAAACAATACATTGGCGTTTCAGAGAAGTCAAGGCATGACTATTGTACTGCATACGAGGCCACTGCACATAAGCTTAATGACCCCGGCCCTGAGCCTATCAGTATCTGGGCTAAAGGTGCAACAATTAGTGCAGGGGGGGGGGGGGGGGCATTCAACGATCATCGACCAGTGTCAAAATATATTCAAGTTTGGATATTTCATCAAGACTAACATATTTTCATTATCTACAAAGAAACCCCCTGGATGAACATTGCTATGAACTGAATTTACACTTCTTAATGCTGAAATTGATGTTATCATACATTTTAAGAAAATAGGTATGTCAAAGAAGATGTGAAGCCAAACATTGACCAGATATATAGCACAGGAAAACTAAAAAGTTTCAAATTTTCTCTCTTCAGTCCTTGTTGCCCCTTTAAATGTTGTCCAAAGTATAATATTTTGACATTGAATATTTGAATTAGTCATTGTACATGTAGGCTAAACCTAAAAATAATCCATTCTGGCATAATTTGTCATTTTGAAATTGATTTTCATAATATTAGTAAATGACCCATTGGTGACGAAAGGGTTAAAATCTAATGTTGTATTCACTCAAAATTCAGATGAATGTCAGATTCTAAAAGCTGACACACTCAGCTTTTCAACGGTGGTATTGCTCCGGGAACCTTAGTTCAGAGGTGGTCATATATCACCCCCGGGATATCACCCTAGTAGTTTGCACTACTATGATGGATCACCATTATAATTCATGGGCAGTAAGCCCAGGGGTGTGGGGGACACTGGTCACATTTTTATACAGGGGGATGCCGCTGAGATTCTATAAATATCTATCCAAATCTAAGGAGTTTTTCTCTAAAAATGGATCCACATCTTTTAAAAAACGTGACAAGGTCCAATTCCGGCGATTTTTTCTCCCCGGGAGAGTAGGTCACCCCTCCCTCTTATATTCTGTAAGGATAAAGGGAATATTAGAGAGGGGTGACTTAATCCCCGTGTTTGAATTGTACATGTTTATTCCTACTCTAATTTGGCGATTGGGTATATTGTGATAAATATTTCGTGATCATCAATAGGCAGTCTCTTTAGAAATACCGGAAGTGGCACGAGAAAAAATTAAATTTTACATTTTTGTGTATTTTCTTGTTTATTAGGGTAAGTCATCGATGAAAACGATTTAAAATACAATAAAAACATTCGCTTGTACAGCAGTCATGTATGTTCTTTGAATTCTTTCCAGATAAACTTCCATTTGAAATAGGTGATGCAATTCTGATTTTGTTCAACCTCAACTCAATGAAGTCCATGGCATGGTTAGTCCTAGCCTGGTCTATATGTTATTCTAGCAGAACTGGAGTCAGAGCTCCATCGAAAATACGATGCTCTCCATTATTGTCAAGATCTGCAATGAAAGTCCCAGTTTAGTCTGTGCTGACTAGGGAACTTGGACAGATTTTGCAAGACTTAGCTTATCACACAGTCCATTATTTCAAATAACATATCAATTGTGTGTGTCTATCACTATTTCGTTCAGCTGTTCAAATGCAAGACACAACTTGGCACAAATTAGAAGGCTTGGAATGACTTTTGTTGTCAACTTACAAGATTTGTTTGAATCAAGCTTCGAATCTATAAATCAAGAAGTCGGGTCAACATGGTCCAATGTTTCATTGTAAAGCTATTTTGACTAGTTGAAGTACTGGACCAAAACTTTCTATGACTAATTAAACAGTTACAATTGTTGAAGAAATACATGTATCTCAAATGCAGCTACATATATTATCAATCATATTGCAGGATTTTTATAGGCTACAGTTTTGTTGATTTTGCAGAATATACTATAATGGCTGGAATGGTACCAGGTGGAGTTCCTCCCTCAGATGAGCAAGCAGTATTACAGGTACAGTAAAATGTACATATTTTGCTGGGATGGGTAAATGGGGAGAGCCTGGGTATATCTATTGACTGAATTCCCAAAGTCATTACACTTAGAGGCAATGAGTTGAAAATTAGATTGATTTCAAAACAGACACTTCCAGCTATCCTATCTCAGATTAACTTTAAAGGTTAACACTTAAATACTGTTTTAGTCCATAAATTACAGCAGTCTATAGCATGCAGCTAAATGTATATTGAGCATATAATTTTCAATATACCATAATCATATTTAATTTCTATATTAATAATAGTAAAACGTGTCTTAGTGAACACATCTCTCTAGTGAACACCTGTGTTTAGTGAACCACTTCAAGACACATTTTAAGACTCTTGTATAAAAACCCTCTCCACCCTTCTTCAAATGATTTTATTTATGCTTATTATGTTTATAAAATACCCTTGCAGCAAGGATGCCCCCTCTCTCTAATGAACACCTTCCTACATTGAACACTTTTTGTGGCTTCATAGGTGTTCACTATATACAGTTTTTACTGTAATTCAATCATGTACTACTATACCTCTCTATACCTCTGTTCTATAATCTAAGTGGATATAAGCTGATATTAATCTACTAATTTTTGTGAAAGTCTGATTCACAATTAAAAGGGGCAATAAGGCTTGTAGAGAGAAAATAGGAAAATTTTAACTTTTTCTGAGCTACCAAGGCAACAGTTGGCCTAACATCTTCTTCGACATACCTATTTTCTTAAAGTGTATGGATAAACTATCAATTTCGGCATTAAAAAGTGTAATTTCAGTTCAAAGCTTCAAAAAGGGGACGTCCACTTCTATATTTTTAAGATCCACCATGTTTCAAGAGGAATATAAGCTGAAATAATGATTATCTAGGGGGTTTCTTTGTAGAAGAAAATAAAAATAGATGTTAGTCTTGATGAAATATTCAAACTTAAATATATTTTGACACTGGTCCATGATCGTTGAATGGCCCCTCTGCACTACTTGTTGTTAATTTTGATAAATACTGGAAGCATGGTGGCAAATCCAAATCCAAGATTTTACATTTTGACAAACATTTCATAATATGGGGCAAAATATAACATAGAATTATCAATACCAATAAGACTGACAAGCTAGATATTCTATATTCAAGTAATTTAGACCTAATGCTCAGGCTGCCTTGAATGAAGATTTACATTTCACAATTTCTAGAAAGAGGGGGCAATACCCAGAGTTCATGGATGAATTATGAATTTTTGGGTATTTCTTCTCTTATTTCTAGTATGATACTGTTTCACTCACTCATAGTATGATACTATTCAGTGAAATACATTTGGCATTATGGTTTTAAACTCCAAGCAACTCTTTTTCATATTCTCAAGCTGATATGAGAGTTTAAGATAAAATTTTATGTGATAATGATTTTGGAGTTTATAGCACATTAAATAAAACTATAAGTTGAATATGGAACTGTCTCTTTCATTTCAGTTTAAAGAATTTCTATCAAATTACAACAAATTGACAGAACATTGTTTTAAAGACTGTGTACATGACTTCACAACTAGGAAAATACACGATTCAGAGGTTAGTAGAATCAGAATGATACAAGTACATTGTACCTTGCTGAAATGATGCATTTATCTTTTAAGAGGAAAGAGAACATGCAACTCATATATGATATGTGACGTCACAATAGCTAGAACAATTGATTTACTGGTCTATATTGGAGTATGTATGACCGCTAAAATTCATAAATGCAGATAGTTGTTTTTCTTATCTGTTTATCATATTAGAATCGTAACAAAGACCTCAATAAAGCAATTTTGGTCTTTTAACAATGAACAGAATAAAAATATATTGCGCCATGAATCATAAAATCTCAGTCTTTATTCCTTAAATGTAGGGAGGAATTGTTTGTGATTTCAGAATAGTTGCAGTACTAATTGTATGGAGAAGTACATGAAAGTAACAGCTAGGATATCTCAGAGGTTTCAGGAGTACCACTTCATGCAGAATGAGGCACAGGGTATACCTCAAGCTCCACAGCCCCAACAACCAGCACAGTCAGGCTGGTTTGGTAGATAGGCAATGTAACTACCTCAGGACTTGCAACTTGTAGAAACTCTAAAAGGAACATATCTTGAAATTGCAGGATAGAGATTATTTCAATTGCAAAACCAGAAGAAACAGTAAGGAGGGTATTTTGGAAAGATTAAGTCCACTGCTTGGATAGATGTATACAAGAAGACTATTACTTATTCCTATTATGCCCATGGTCTCAGGCTTTTTTCCTTTGACGAGTTCTGTGACCAGATTCTAGGGGTAAAAAAGAATCTGTCTTTTATAATATATTGACCATTAATTTGAATCACATATCCTTCAATCATTGCCCAACTGAGTTATTTTAGATTAGAATAGGTTGAGTTAAATAAAGGTTGGTGAAAGATTTTTGAATGAGTTGAAATCACATTGTGCCACGCCTTTTTTCAACCTCAGTCATTTTCAACAAAATACAGTTTTTATGATGTAGATTGTAGTTTATTAATTAATGTGAACAATGTTTTATAATGAAAAGTGTCATTATAAAATATAAAAATTAATATAAACTGAGTATAATGTTGATGTTTAATACATATATACTGAACCTCAGATTGTCACGACGTTTTGCATGGTATGTACATGGTGTGTGCACAGGGTACAGACATCATTCATTTCATGCAGTGCTTTAAATTATGCTCATGTAATATTGCTATCTCAGGGGTTACTGGTAGTCTACAATACTGATATTTAAACAATTCACCTTAGTATTTTATTTTGAGTAAATATTGTATTTCTGAATTGGGGTACATTTTAAATGTAAAAGATGCCATTGAATACTGTCTTGGAATATCATGCTTACAATGTATGTTGTAACACCGTGCACAATGTATTAAGCATTAAGCATTTAAATAGAAAGCTGTGCTATCTATCAACAAGGGACCGTCTCAAAAGTTGCACCAACTCCTTTATGAAATCCATTTTGTTAATTGCTAGTCCAGTCCCCATTCTCCCTTGTGAACGGTTTAAAAGATAAAAAATGCTATAAAATTTCTTTGTGAACAAGTATTTTTAAAACGCCTTGAATCACAGTGTACAAACCAAATGAAAGCTATTATGTCAGGTGACAATGCCTTAACATGTGTTATATATCACAGCATCTTTTCTTTGGTATATCATCATCATCACCACCATTATTGTCCTCCATAATTGTGATTGCATCAACGCCCTCTATTGGCCTCATCTTCATATCATTCATTCTCTCTTCCAGTTTCACTATGTGTTTGATTAAGTGGTTCATAGCCTCCTCTGAAACATTTAATAGATTCACAATATTATATGCAAAAAAATTGACCTATGAAGAAATTAGCGGTCATGATTGATAAGAAATTGGTAAAACCAAGAAGCCAGGCTTCAGTTTATTTTTGAATGACTTGTATATGTTCATGTAATTTTAATTATGGCTTTTATATACAGTATATCCTGAGATTGATGTTCAGTGATTCAAAAATGACTCAAGTTGTGACATTGGGTTATAGTCTCCAACTTTTTATGGACGGGTTCGGCGTCGTTATGGACGGTGTTAGGCGTTTTGTGTTCGGCGGTTTGCGTTGTGTTCGGCGGTTTGCGTCTGTAACGAATGGCAGGACGTGATGCCATTTTTGCATCTAATAGAGCATCTTTATGCTTACCTAATCCAATCCCCATCTTAGCCGAGGTTGGGAACCATCCTATAATATTATGCTTCTTACAAAAGTTATCCAGATGATCCGGATTTAATGAGATTTCTTCCAAATCAAACTGAAAATACACAAAGTTCGTCTGGTAAATAAATAAAGGATCATGATAATGTTATTTTACATGTACAGTATGTGAACTTCAGAGTGAAAACTGACTTGAGTTGATATTGGGGACGATAGAAAGATTGTAGCAAAGTAACGATATAAATATTAGCTATGAAGACGCTGGCAGAAAGGAACGCAAATGCAGTTTCTGAAACCGATTACTGCCAGAAAAATTTAGAAATTTTTTTGAAAATCATGCTGAGTAATTAAAAAAAAAAAATATTTTTGTCATGCATGATCTCTCTTAACAGCATAACATCGAGGATAAAGAATAGCCACATTGCAACATTCTCAAAATTTATTTCGTTCCTTGCGTAATTTACTACTCAGAGGCACGATCAGATTAAACAAGTGCTAGGAGACTGTCATATAATCTTAAGAATGCACACATTTCCCCATCCGAAATCCTCACTGCCACACTTGATATCGTGACTCTTTGGAGATAATTATTTGTGAAACATGACATCTACTTTTTTTTTACTAATTTGCCAGTGGAAATAGTGACGACTGTCAGAATACGTCTCACTGCACCCATCTAACAATATTTATATTTTATTCTTATGCTACCTTATTGGCTAAAAGTAAACATGGCACAGGTTCCTCGTTCATCAGCACCACTTTAGAGTGTACATCATCTAACCACTGGAATGTAAAAACACACACAAACTATAAAGTCATGAAAAAACATTAACAGCTCATACATGTAGTTGAGGCTATTTATCATTAAGGATTCATTTTAAATTAAAGTATTTTAAATTGTTTTATATCCTACCTTTACTACTGCATCAAATGTCGCCTGTCTTGCCAAGTCAAAGACAATCACTGCTGCTATACTACAATATTCAAGAAGTATACAAGTTGTAGATGAAAACAAAACAGGGCTTTATATGCAAGACTATCATCTTTTTCGGTTAAGAGACACAGCCACGGTAGCTCAAGTGAAACAAGTATTTACTCATCATTGATGACATTTGGATATACAGGGTGTCCCAGAACTTCCATATCTCCCTCAAAAATTCTCAAGAGTTCTGGGACATCCTGTAGATTGATTCAAACATGGTAGTTTTACTTACGCATATTTGTAGTATACTCTTGTCATATGCCCAAATCGTTCATGCCCTGCAATATCCCTGTAATTTGAAACATAAACATGATGAACAATGTAATAGAGCTAAAAGTCTCGTAAAATATTGAGGGGCTACTAAGAAATGGAACTATATAGTTTAAATACAATTTCGGTTTTATTTTCATCATTGTGAACTACAGTGAAACCCAAATTTAATTGAAATAAGGTAAAAAGTTTCTTTTATGCAGAACAGAAATGGAATTGTACAATGGTGCATACACATGTTTCAATAATATGCACGGTCTAACGTGCATTCATAGAAAACTGCACCTACCACAATTGCATGTTGATTTTTGTGTGTTCGTTCCATTGAATATTCTTTACTGCAAAGTCAACACCAATAGTTAGCTTGTAGTTAGGGGAAAATGTCCCTTCTGTGTAGCGCTTGATTAGAGATGTTTTTCCTGCAATTAAATTATTGTCTCAGTATTCATTCACAGTGGCGTAGCGTGGGTATTTTGTGAGGGTACGCCACGAGTAAGCGAAATAGACGTGCTGTGAGGGGGGTTCGGGTGAGGTCCCCCCAACAAAATTTGAATATGAGATTGCATTTGAAGCGTTCTGGGGCGTTTGAAATACGAAATTCCGACTATTATGGACGAATAGAATGTAAATTATTAGCCATTTTTATCCATTTTTGAAGTGTTGGGCAAATCAATATAAAAAATTCAACTGTTTTCTAAATTTTGAGAGTACGCCATGGCGTTTTATGCGTATATGACGCTACGCCATTGATTCATATACTAAAAATGAAATTTTTTATTAGTTAATTAAGAGCTTTTTAACGTTATTAGTTATAATATCTTTGATCTGCGTCATAATGACATCTCTTAGTTGTCCATTATTTACTATTTACACTGTTTGAATTTTAAATCTGAAATTATCATACTTCAAAATGATGGTATTCTCGGGTATACAGTTACATGAGGTGTATCAGTCTCAACTGAAAAGAACGAATGTCCTTTGGCTTTGATGTCTACTATTTCAACCGACTATCTACAGATCTATTACAATATATAGTTTAATGGTGCCAATTTAGCAACATCTCATGCCCATCGTAATGCCACTGCTGGCGGGGAAAGGCCTGCTGGGTCGAACACTCGAAATCAACATTTACAACAACGGACACAAAAAATCATTTTCATGAATGGTTATTTTCTGGATTAAATGGTCAATAGCTGTAGTCATCTTAAATAAGCGCAAATGTATTTTGTTCACAATGATAGTAATTTACACATTCATTATAAAGATTTGGATATAAACTTTCTTTTCTGCAATTAGCCAATGAAAGCTTGAAAATATCTTTTAAAAATGAAAAAGGGGCAATTTTTCCAATTTGGATACTTACTAGTTGAGAACGTTCGAGCTCTGATATTTGCAGAAAATAAGGGTTGCTAAAAGTCTCTTGATTGTGTAAGTTCCACAACCCTCGAAATATAATCAAGGAATTATATAAATAAAAAAGTTTTACAATCCTCCTCAAAATCCTTGAGCTTTTGATTTTATTTACACAAAATATTATATTTCTTGTCTGGGTCATTCGTGGGGCCTTTGTTCATTAAATTAATGGTAATAGGCCTATTTTCGATTGGCACGCGGTCTTGTATCAAATGCTATCATGCCTATCCATTAGCTGCACAGTGGCACTAATAGAACGAGATTTATTTACTTAAAGGTAAACGATCGTTCTTAGGTAAATTTGATTGTGAAATATATAAGCGAAAGGCCTACTTTAAATTAACAAAGTAAGTTTACATTCACGGGTTATTGTGTCCATGCATTATAATCGTGGAATTAATAGTTCTAAACTTTTAAGACCATAGTCGATAGAGGTTAAAGCCCATTGAAAACATTGCCGGTTTTCATCATTCGTTAAAAATACCCAAAGACAAAATACGATTCACACTATAACAAACTCAGAAACCCAAAACGAAATGCTCAATGTTACGCTTTTTTCAATGTCGTAGAATACAAGATAGCTGACTTTCAAACAAAAGTCCTTACTTCAATTAAACTAACACTTTCTAGATAAGCATGCAATAAAAAGTATGTGATCTTCCACGATGTCTTGACATGCACCAACTCAATGTTTATGAACTTGTAATATTGTTATATTAGTATAATGTATTATAAAGAACATTATCAGGCCCGTAGCCAGGAGGGGTTCGCAGGGTTCGGGCGAACCCCCCCCCCCCCCCCCTGGCCAAAAATTCTTTCAAAATCATGCAGTTTTTGACCATTTTGAGCACTTCTCTAGTGATTTCAGCCTAATTTGGGCCAAAATTGTCAAATGTGAACCCCCCCCTGGAAATTTTTGAAAATTGAACCCCCCCTTGGCAAATCCTGGCTACGGGCCTGATTATTATTGAAGAACATTATAATTATGCAGATTTTAGCGTGTAATTCATTAATGATCTCGCTCTTGTTATTATCATGTGTCGTTATGTTTTACATCTCTAGTTGTGATCCAAATATTTGCAAATTGAAACGACAGACCCATGAAAGAATATGGTTCGTTTCTTCATGGGCTTTCAAGCCCATGTTTTCTTGTACTAATCGAAGATTAATAAATGTTTTAAAATGCACTTACCAACACCAAATTCCCCGATCATCAATACTTTATATAAATGTTCATGTTGTTTTTGTTTGTACTCTGCACTCGCCATTGGACATATTTACTGCCCGGGATTTACTGTTAGTTATATCACTAAATACATGTACGACTTGTTGACACGATATTTTGATTGAACTTTGAAGTATACTGAACCAATAATAATGAAAGGCCTGCCAAAGTTCTTTGATTGGACAATCATGGGACTTATGATTAAACTAGTTTAAGAGCTCTTGATATAGCAGCCGTTCAATCAATTTTATGGTGAAATAGACCTACTTCTGCTATCTTAAACGAATAAAACTACAATTCAACGATTATATTTCATGGACGAAGGGCGAAGAGCCCGTGCATGTGTAGAGGAAGTTTGGGTCCTAATTAGTCCGACATGGAATTATTTCAGGGGGCTACATAAGAATAAGAAGCCCCCTCCTGAGTCCTCAAATCACATACATGTACAGCATTTAAACGCAGTCGGTTGTTTAGAATAGAAATTCTCCTAATGCCATCACAAGCCCGTAGCCGGGGGAGGGGGGTTCGAGCGACCATCTGAGAACTTTTCAAGTGATTTTGGCCCAATGTTGTCAAATGTGAACCCCCTCGTATTTTTCCAAAAGTGAACCCCTTGGCAAAACGTGGCTACGGGCATGCGGCACAGATCATATTAATTTATAGTGGTCTGCCAGTTTCTTTTACTTGGTAATCCAAGATGACCTATCAAACAATCCCTGAAAAAATTGGGATATCGGGGGTCACCTTTCCGGGGTGCTCGGGGTCACCTTGCGCGTATTTATAGGCAAACCATCTGAGGGATCGATCGATTTGAATGGATTTTTTTCTTTGGGCCATCCTTCTTCAAAGGACTTCAATTATGCTTAAATTGTAAAATGCCCTTGAAGCAAGGATGCTTTGGGCTGGGTATGCTCTTTTCTTCAAGAATTGGTTAACGAAATCGCAAATTGCTTTAACCTTGAGAAGGTCAATGAATCTTTTGAAAAAATGGTCAATTTGTAGCAAGTTGAAAAAGACCTTCTTGACCTTGAAGGTCAAATTTATAGTCAGCTTTGGGCTTTTGAGAACATCTAGATGCTTTTGAAAAAATTGATTTGAGAACTTCAAGATGATTTTGAAAAAATTGATCAATTTGAAGCAAGTTGAAAATACCTTTTTGACCTTGAGGAGGTCAGTGAAGGTCAAATCTAAAGTACTAGTCAGATTTGAACTGATAACTTATAGATGATTTTGAAAAAAACGTGGTCAATTTGAAGCAAGTTGAAAAAGACCTTTTTGACCTTGAGGAGGTCAGTGAAGGTCAAATCTCAAATCTAAAGACAGATTTTCACGCCCGGTGATCGTACAAAAATGATGGAGTACAATTGAATTGCCAAATGAATAGGCGCAGTGCATGGCAAAATATGTTAGGTCATTTAGTATTTTTATTGAACTGATACCCTTCTAAGATATGAAATCTATTAAAAAAGGCGCATCATCACTAACATGCAAAAGTCAATGTTTTTTGTTTTCGGATGGAGGGGGGATTTATATATCTTTACGATGGAACAAATTCACAAGGACTCGTGTATTTGAAAAAAAACTAAACTCAGTAACCCTATTATATCTCTGGAGAATGAAAAATGGAGTCATAAGAATAAATTCAAGTAGCACGTCTTATCATGTCTTATATACACGTGATCCCCCCTCCATCCGATCCCCCCTCCATCCCAAATTAATTTATTTCGATTATTTTTTGTATAGCGCATGGAAACTAACTTTAAAAAGTGAGCAATGTCATTAGTATTGTGATAATAACGTCCCTTATACCTTATATTTATTACAGGTCGTGTAGACCATTGTTGCCCGATTTATTGCAAAAACATTGACTTTTGCATATTGGTGATGATGCGCCTTTCTTAATAGATCTCATATCTTAGAAGGGTATCAGTTCAAAAAAATAATAGATGACCTAACATATTTTGCCATGCACTGCGCCTATTCATTTGGCAATTCAATTGTAAATTTTCTCTTGAAAAAATAAATCTTCCTTTGTTGAGTTTTCTTGCAGAAATCACCTAATCCCCCCCCCCCTTCCATCATTTGTGTACGATCACCGGGCGTGTTTTGTTTGAAAAAAAGGTCAATTTGAAGCAAGTTGAAAGAGAAATCGAAAAAAAAACTTTTTGACCTTTTATGACCTTGAGAAGGTCAATGAAGGTCAAATTTCAAATCTTAAAGGTGCAACAATTAGTACATTCAACGATCATCGACCAGTGTCAAAATATATTTAACTTTGGATATTTCATCAAGACTAACATATATTTTCATTACCTACAAAAAAACCTGGATGAACTTTATTTTAGCTGATATTCCTCTTGAAACGTGATGAATCTGAAAAATCTATATAAGTGAGACTCCCTTTATAAAAGCTTTGTACTGAATTTACACTTCTTAATGCTGAAATTGATAGTTTATCCATACATTTTAAGAAAATAGGTATGTCAAAGAAGATGTTAAGCCAAATATTGACCTGATAGCTCAGAAAAAATAAAAAATTTCGAATTTTCTCTCTAAAGTCCTTGTTGCCCCTTTAAGTCAGATTTGAACTTCTGATAACTTGTAGATGATTTCGAAAAAAAGTAAATTTGAAGCAAGTTGAAAAAAGACCTTAAACTGTATATCTGCTTTAAATGGGCTTGTTTTACCATATTCCATGGCCACTGGGTGAACTAGACTCAAGTAAGGCGTGTTAGCCTTTTGCAGATTATTGATGTAGATGTTTCCCTATGCAATATAAACTCTTACGGAATCTATAGATGGCAGTTGTAATAATCAATTACGCATGCGCATAAACTATTTCCGTTGAAATTTATTGAAATGATAATTTCACGACTTGGACTTAATTTGCCACGAATTCTTCACTCAAATTGGTCTTGTTTTTGAGTATATAAGGTACATATATTAAACGGGTACTTATTGATGCTTTTGAATAAATGTATAATGTATTGGAATCACTTGTATGTTTTTCAGCACAGTAATATTTATGGCTTCATGGCCGATTGGAAAAATGCGTGGAGATTTTTTCAGGAACACTGATTTCAGAGGATGGTTGTTCGAAACCCGTAGTGGGTGAAATAATGATTGTATTAGTTTCCATGTTGAATTTATTTCATGGCATTTCATCACTGTATCTTATAATTCAGACCCTAGCATGCACTCAGTTAATTGGTTTGTTTAGATTATAAGTCGTGTCAATATGTTGATAAGAAATTCTTGAATACAATCGGGCAACTGAGCTAAACATCTACCTGGAAAGTTACACAGTACCAGTAACTAACTGGAGGAAAAAAATCAGTAGAGTATAATTCAATGAAGGAGCTGTTGATTGTCTTGTTTGCCGATGGATACAAGTTCCTGTGTAGATCTTACATGGCTCGTCATGAATAGGTCCGATATATTAGATCTACAATTGTTTAAATCTTTACTTCAGGTGCTCTTCAAATTTTTCTGAGGGTTAAGCCCTAAAGACCAACCATCATGTCAAGTCGGGCGTGTAGTCACTGTGGTTGCAGTGATATTGATACTGACCCTGCCAGGGGAGATGCAGTGTGTACCGGATGTGGCTCTGTACTGGAAGACCAAATTATTGTTTCTGAGGTCCAGTTTGAAGAGAACCGTCTCGGTGGGGCATCTGTCATTGGACAGTTTGTATCCAGTGAAGGTATGAGACAGTTTCTAATTTTATTTTAGCCATTTTGTATTGAGAAAATAATAAAAATGTTAAGGATCCGAAATACAATACTACTGTAATAGTCTGTAAAGCGTCTAGTGTTTTATTCCAATTTTGAGTCTTCTAAATAATACTGTATGTGTACTCATGGGCTTTCAGTTAGAAGCCCATGGTGTACTGTACTGAAATTTTATTTGTACCAGTTGCTGGTGAAGGAACATGTAACTTTTTTAAACTGAACTAAACTAAACTGTAATATTTGGTAATATTTTACAGGTAACAAAGGCCATTCAATGGGAAGTGGCTTCCACCATGGATTTGGCAAAGAATCTAGAGCTATCACTCTGCAAAATGGTAAGACTGTAGTGTACACATGTTCAATGAACCTGTAATTCATGGGCAATTGTGTACTGCATTTAGTTACAAAATTCATGTTGCTGCAATAGATCCAAGATGGGTGGTTGGATTTGTTTAAATCAGTTATATGTTGATGCATTGCGGACCATATATATGAAATGGTAGCCATTATCTATAATAACTTGAACACTAACTGCTTCATGGATTTGGTTGGAATGATATTGTTATGAAAAATGTGAAATAGCATTCATTTTTTAAATTGGATGCCATTTCTTTGGAATTTATTATTTTTTTATTACCGGTATCACTTGGATTCTAGATTGTATGATAAAAATTTTTGACTGAAAATAGTCTATATTTGAGTTTACTTAATCAGTAAATTAAGTTATTAGTAATTTAGCTTTTTGCAATTTCATGTAAGTCCTGCAAATGAAAGAAACAACCAGTTAATATGCTGTATAATTTGTGAAAATTGCAACATATTCTTCCAATACTCCTTTCCAGGTAAAAGAAAAATTCAGCAGCTAGGTGGACAGCTCCGTTTGAACAGTCATTGTATAGATACAGCATATAACTTCTTCAAGATGGCTGTCAGTAGGCGACTAACTAGGGGAAGAAAAACAACCCATGTTGTAGCAGCTTGCTTGTATTTGGTCTGTAGGACTGAAGGCACACCTCGTATCCTTTGATCGCTTAATACATGACTAGGTAAAATGGCCCCTGATGCAATTAAAATCAACTGTAAACTCTGATTGCAAAAATCCATTGATTACTTGTAGTATGTTTGTTTATATGTAGTCAGCATAGCAAAAAGGTGATCTGGTGATAGACAAACTTTACCCAATAAATGTAACTTATGTAATTTGACTAATTAGCAATTTCATAATTAAACAATTACATCATTATCACAATGACAATATCCCATGCTTTTAAAGTGCATGCAACATATACTTTTTGGTTGGTTTTATTCTTTCTTTTATCTTTGTGACTTAATAAAAAGTGTAGCATAATATTTCTTAGACCTATTGTTTTTAAACATAATTCCTCATTTGTGAAAGCTCCCTGGAAAGTCAGGGAATTTTAGAATGTCCTGAAGTGACTGTTGTGGTCATGCGATTTTAAAATTCAGAGAAGGATGGGGAAATCTGGGAATTTGAAGTGAATTCATTTTGAAATGTTTAACATTGGACCACAAACTGAAAAATGTTCATGAAATGAGAAAAATCAAAATTGTATACAAATATTGAATGATGTTGAGTGCAATACCTGTATATATTTCTTAGGGTGTATTCCACACAGCCCGAAGGGCAAGTGGAATACACCCCCTAGAAACATATACAGGTATTGCACTCAACAGAATTCAATATTTGTTTTATTATTTCACCCATATTATTTCACGTGTATACCAAAATCTGAAAAGAAAAGATACATATTAACAGTTTTGACGTCACATTTGTTGAATACCTGTATTTATTTTTTGAAAAATATAACAGATAATGACAAGCTATAACTGGGGAAATTTGATTTGATTTGAAAATATAGCTATTCTTAAAATATTTTCTGAGGTGGTGATGTCCTGTCTTGTATTAGCATTCTCAAGTTTCATTACCTTGACAATATCCTAGATATGCTGTTGGATTTTAGTGACCAGCTTCAGGTGAATGTGTACACACTTGGACGCACATATTTGCAGCTATCAAGAGAACTTTGTATCAACGTACCAGCTATTGGTAAGACATCTTATTTTATCAATCAACTAAGTGTAATAATATCACCCTCTTCGTTTGAATGTAAGGAAGGCATTTATTTGTAAGCACCTGATAATGAACACATTTGGCTGGCCATTTGAAATTTCACATACCACAATTTTTAAAGATGATACATTATTTTGTATAATACTCAGAAATACCTTCATTTTGCATTGAGTTGTTGCCTGAGTAGACAAATTGACTGATGGAGGGACTGAGGGAGGGCTACTTTTCTTTTTGAACTTTTTTTGTTGGGAAAACAAACTCTTGAGTCTGGACTCAGTTTTGTTGAGATTTTATATGTAAGAACTTGAAAGCATGAGACATTGGTCTCAATTTGCTCTATTAGTCTGCAGTTTTGAGAATCAGAGGTCATTTTTTTGTTTTGACTTTAAGATAGCAAAAATAAAACACTATTGTTGGTTCTTCATTTTTTGTGACAATTTTGAGAATATTTTGCAATCACTTCATTGACCAATAGACAGCCTATTTTTCGGAGCTAATTGCCAAGATAGAAAATTGATTGCCTTTGGAAGTCAGACAGCTATGAGTTTCAAACCCTGTTGAATGGAATTTACTACTCCTTGGTGGTGTTGCTGTTTTCTTGATTTAAGATTTTGAATGGCAGGATTTGCTACTCCAAGTTTTTTTCCTCAAATAGGCCTAGCCTATTTTATTTTAAAAAATTTTCTATTTGGATTCACTACTCTTGTTTGTTGCGTTTAATGGGACGAAGATTATAAAAAACAGCCTTGTCTCAAAATTAGGTATAACATGAGCTGTCCTGCAAACTTGATTAAAACAGGACGCATGAACTTGTGTTTCATATTTTGATACATCAAAACAAAATATTTAAGTTGAAAAAAAACACATTTTTAAAGATGTACAAATCATGATTTATTGTAGTCTCAAGTCTTTGTATTACAATGTTTATTTTTGGAAAGTGCTTATTTTTATAAAATTCATTAATGGGTTTATTTACTAGTATTAATTCAACTAGAAATCCACGGAGTCGCAAATCCCAACGAACACTATTAGGCGGCATGAATCAGAAAAACAATGCAATATTTGCAATCTACTCTAAACTGCCTTTCATTTGAGTATATAGCTATACTTCAAAAAGATCCCAAAATTAAAGAAAATTCATGTTTTCCCAAAATATAAAGAAAAACCATCCACTAGTATTCAAGTTATGGGATGGACTGGCTTACTGACAGAACTCCATTCTTAGGGATTGTAACCATACTTTGAACAGATCAGAAAATACTTGCGAAATCCCATATAAGGCGGCCATTTTGAATTTTATGAGGGTCAAATAAGAAGAATGATAGTATTTGCAATCTACTCTAATTTGCCTTTCATTTGAATATAATAAAGCTATACTTCAGAAAGATCTCAAAATTAACTAAAATTCCTGTTTTCCCGAACCCCCCATACATGGCCCCTGGGGGTCAATGAAATAGATAGATTTTCGCGAAAAATTTCTAACACTTTTAAAGTGGAGATCTTGAAAAAATTATGGCATAAAACTATTTACCATGAAGAAAATCTGTCCAGTGTTCAAGTTATCTGACGGATGTAGGGCTTCACTATATCCCTCCCAAACTTCATTCGTTGGGATAATTAAAAACTGATTAATGTGATGTGGTGATTAGTAACTACTTTTGTGCAAAATATAAATAACCCTGTATATTGTAATTAGTACCACATCTAAGTTAACTTGCATTTATTCTTCAATTATATTGTTGCATTTCCTCCAATAAACATAACATATACATGCATAACAGGAACATATGGTAAATCTCTTATAAATAGAGCATTAAACTTATACTAGTTATACAAAGTGTCTCATATTTACTGGCAGCTACAGTACCCAAATTATTACAATAGAACACCCTGTACATTTATATTGAAATTTTAACAATATTGTTCATAACTGAGCAGTTGACATTGATCTCTAACAGTAGAATATAAGCTCAGGTATTTGACCTCCTTGTACCCCAGTGCCATTTGTACTGTCTGATGAGCACTGGAATTGAAAGTTCACTTTCCCACACTGTACATCAGCCATACCCTCCTGGCCAAAATAACTCAACTCAGAGCCTTCTAGTACAGCACTCACTGTATAAAATGTATCTGGTTCAATCTGTACTGGGTTATCAAGCATCATGGGGAAAGTTTTACTCGAACCATCAGAATAGAATGATCTTGATTTAATATGTGATATAGTGATTCCATTGCGTTTGAGGTCTATTTTAACACCATAATCCGCAGCACCATTACTAGATCCATATAAACCAAATCCAGCTAAGAATACACGCCGATCAACGGCAAATTGAATACTATCACAGCGTCCTCTATACCGCCATTGATTACTGCGATAAGCTGATGATTGAAATCTGTGACATCTATGAGGTTGTAAGCCTCGTCTTGGACTTGTAGGGAAGGCCAAGCGGGGTTTATTTCTAGCAGTATGATACAGGAATATGTCATTAGTCTCCTGTAAATTAAGTATGTCTGACTGAGCAACAGTGTTTGCAAAATCATCCAGTTTCATTGCTGGGAGGCGTAATAAATTCAATGCTTTGCCCAAAACCAGACGTTTATTATGCGCATTAGCTTCAAGGTCACGACGCCTACACTCAGCTTCTGCCCAACAACAAGCAGCTTCAAATAAGGATATCTCTTTACAGTTCAGAGATTCCCTAGAGAGAACTAACTCTAGAGTGGGTAGATCTATATCTACAAACCCATCAGATGATACAGCCTCCTCAGCTTGGGCATCGATAACCTCCCAGCATCGTTGCATTAGATCAGGTTCCTCAAACAATCTACTCTGACTGAGCAGGACACATGCGTTCCTTGCACTGAGGCTTGTCTCAAGGTAGCGCACACATGACCTAGCTAGGTGGGGTACAATGTACTTTTTTGCAGCATAGAGTGTGGCTAGAACTGTATCTGCCCCAAGTTCTATCTCATCACTATATAAATACCTGGAAAGACAGTTGAAACATTTTAGTAGGTTTTCGGATTCTAATTTTTTGGGACATCAGGATTAATTTTTTTACTTACATTTTCATGATTTAAATAGTATTGGGAGTATGCGATGCTTTATTTTTCAAATGAATCATCCTTGTTATTTCTTGTCTAAGCTATAGATTTTAAGATCGGTAGATTGAGTAATCTAGTTCATAAATATGAATCATTAACTTGTGTGTATAAGGTACATGTAAATAATGTACATACATGGGCGTAGCACCCGGTACGCTGGGTACGCACAGGCGTACCAGATGGTTGCAAATTCGCTCCTAATACAACCAAATTTCAAAATTTTCCTGGGGGAGAACCCCCACACCCCCCTCAATGCTCGTTTTTTGATCCACTCGACTCTTGTTCCCGTGGTGGTGGCGTACTACTTAGAAAAATAGCGCTACACCCATGACATATACAGTATATAATTAGTCAAAATTGTTTAAAAGCAGCAAGGGCAATTTTTTTATACTTACTTCAGTAGGTTTAGGAAAGCTTGTGGTTCAACATCAGGAATTTCAATGTCTTTATGCCCATGTTCTGCTAAACCACCATAAAACATTGCATGGAAAACAGAACTCCCAATGGCTAATACATATTTATGAGCAGGTATCCTTTGTGGGAGCCTTGAACCAACAATGAAGAAAACATCTGCCATGGTATCATTGTTAAACATTACAGCATTACGTTCACGCACTGTTGATTTTGTCGCCTGCCAATTATGATCATTTGTTGTGATTGGTCGCTTTTTGAATTTGACATGGCTGATGTAGCTTTCGGGTACTTCTTGATTCATAGGCTCATCTTGATCTGAGTTGGAGTCATATGGATAATCATTAACGTTGGGGGTCACGCATGTTGATGGTTGTACCCTCCTACAAGTAAATGAAGTTCTTTAATTAGGAAAAAGAAATAACTCTCTATTAACATCCATCATAACATCTCAAACTACCTTTATCTGGGGGGGGGTGATATTCTACTGCAGAAGAGCCGAGACTCGTGCAAGACTAATTTGTAGTTGATAAGAACTACAGTTGGAAAAAACAGTTATTGCGGATTTTTTCTTTGCTAGATGTAGGCCCATGGGCTTTCACACTAACAAACAATCAATTGGCAGCAATTTTAGCATTTTCAAAGTATACAAATGTAATTTTCAAAATAGTCGTCTTTCTGGAGATCAGATTAGAAAGTAAATATTTGGACTTGTATTCAAAAGATTGGTCCCTACATGTTTGTGGTATAATCTGATAATTTTCCATTCGGAATTGCTCTGTGTCCAGTTTGACCAGTACAGTAGGTCTAGTCTAGAGTCCATTTCACTGCTTCATTTCGTCAGTAGAACGGCAAAAATAAGAAATTGGGAGACCATTGTGTAATAATATGTGGAAAAGTATATTCATAATGTACATGAATGACATTTGTATATTTCAGATTTTTTAGTTTTTTGTGCAATAAGCCTGTGCCGTCTTGTAATTTGAAGAATTTCAGCCATGTTAATCTTATTGAAAATAACATGGCAGAGAAACATCCAAATATAAGAGGCCACACACTTTATAAGCCAAACTAGAAGCAATCCAAGATATACAAATCTCATTCATGTACATTATGAATATACTTTTCCATATATTATTGCACAATGGACTCCCAATTTCTTATTTTTGCCTTTCTACTGACGAAATGAAGCAGTGAAATGGACTCTAGGCTAGATCTAGCAAAAACAATCCAAAACCAAAATAATTCTGACAATTCTCAAGATCTGTTTTTTTATTGCAAGTATTTGCTTGATTGGGATCATGATTGCAATGTACATTTAATTCTTGATATCCAAATGAGGCCTAATAACCAAACAAAACATTGTTTATAGACAGGTTCCAATTCTAATAATTCAAGTTTTTGAGGCATTTTTTAGAAAAAGCAACAGACCTATTTTTACTCGATCAGTTTTTCATGCTGATAAAGATATTAAAAGATGACAGCTCAACGGGGTGGTCACGACACTGAATTTTGGCATGTTTACCCCCCTAAGAAAATATTCTAGGGGGTACTATGAAACTAGTTCATAACTCAAAGGATATATGAACTATTGTTCTGAGTTGTACACCATACATTGCTAGTACAAATATGAATACTATCCTAAAGTTATAGGTTGATACCCTTATTGGTCTCAGAAAAAATACAATAAACAGGAAAAAGATACGGAAATGTTTTGCCAATTGTATATTTGTAGCTTCAAGCAAAATATGACAGCTTTAACAGCTCATAGTAGTATTCTAAAAACATCTCCAGGCTATATGGGGTATTGTAATACATCTATTTTAGTTATGAAGTACTATTTTGTAATTCTAATATGACATTATAGTGCCCTACCCCTGGAAAATTGAAGAAAGTGGATGTGGTGAATTTAATCATTTTGCAGCATTAAATTAGAAACATGTATTGATAGACACCAAATCAATAGATTATACCATCATCAAATGTTAGGTGACATTCTAATTCATTTATTACTAGAATACAGAACTTAAGATATTTTATATGTAAGTTTTCAATTTAGTACATGTATCATAATGAAATCTAGTGTAATCACATACTAGAGAGGACATTGACATAAAGTCTAAACATTATAATCATCAATTGATCTCATTTGAGCAACTAGACTATGGTGGTCATCATGCACAAGTAATGTACTACAGTGCCCCATGTACTAGGGCACGAGTCATTTGAGCCATATATACCTCCTGGTATATACCTTTACAACCCATTCAGAAGGGTAATTTACAATCTGCAAAACATGGCAAAAGTTCCGTAAAACTGTTAGTTCTCATCATCTGACCATATAGCAGAGTCCTCATTAAGCCATGATGCATCACAGCCAGATGTTAGAAAAGTAGCTAAGAATCTTTTTTATTAACCAAAGATGACTTTCCCACCGATGTTGCATCACACTGTACTGTCAACTGTACATGTTGCTTTCAATTTTGTTTACTCTACATAGATCTGATTCTGCATTTAAATACCAAGACTTCAGTTTACTTCAACTGTCATGACTAAAGCATTTGATAGTATTTACATAATAATGTTATAAAGGAGCATGTAGGTTATCGCAAACAACTTCAGACAATGGTCCTTTTCCATATAGCTTTGAAATCTCGTTAAGGTCTTGTTTTTAATGAGATTTTAGGAGATCTGCATTTTTAACCATTAAAAACTAATGTTTTCTTCCATCTGATGGCATATTTGAATTCTGTGAGTAATTCTCTATCAAAACAACTTTGATTTGCACTGTAATTTACCATTATTCAAATTCTAATGATTTACTGGTTGTCTAAAAAAGGTCGGGCTAAATCCCCATTGACACAATGCTGAAAAACCTTAAAAAGTTCATTTACTCTTCCAAGGATCACAATTTTAATGTGAAATCACAATCCACATGTCAATAAGATCATAAAGTTACATTCCAATAATGTTTTAAGTTGATCCAAATGGAATTACTTCTTAAATCAAGAAATTAAGTGACTCTGGCAATACATTTACATGTATTCTAGCCCTACCCAAGCTCTACCAATACCCATGATGCCATCTATTTTTTATTTATATGGAAAAAGGTCAATTCTAACTTGAATTATGAATATTTTCTGACCATGAACCTAGGTATATCTTTTAGATCTATTCATTATCTTCAAGAAAAGTAAATATAATGATTAATCAGACCTAGGTGATATTAAAGGGAATGGCCCAAATAACATACTTTTTACTAAAAATGATGACCTAGTTTTTACCAAAGATGCAACCTTTAATTATATTGTTGAATGCATAATTAGAATATGCTTTGAGACATGTTCTATTTCCTAAGAGGAAAAGTGGATTGCTCCAGGGACTTTAAAGACACTGAATTTGGATGACCAAAATGAACTGAAACCAATGGATAGCATGAATTTTTTCAAAGGGGAAATAACATGAGGAACACTAATCTTAGGGGAATTCAGTTTTCATTTTAAGAGCTATTTGATATATTAAAATAAAGAATAGTAATGCATTAGACATTGTTAAAATGATTGCATTTTTGGTGAAAATGAGGTCAACAACTTTGAAAAATATATTGATGGGTTGATTGCTAGTGAAAAATCTCGAGTCGGATTGACTTTATTATCCCTGTATACCTGTCTTCATGGTCAGGAAATAGTCATAATCAAAGATATAACTGTCTGAAATTGTTTGTGATAACTTACCTGAACATTTGCAGGTCAAATCAGGAGTGACACAGTTTATTTCCACCAAATTTTTGACATGTCTTCAAATATACGAAAGTATTTTCTTCATAAGATAGAGTGTCACTTGTGAAATTTATTGATTGACCTGAAATCGTATCATATCTTTATGACATAGAAGCGAAATAGCCATATTGAACTTTAATGAATGTTGTTTGCCACTTTTCGACGATTTCGTCAAAATTTTGGGGGTTTTGGGGAGGGGTACAATTAAGTTAAAAAATTCACCTGATTCAGACTATCCTTAAATGAGCACTGATTCACCCTAGAGCATAACTTTTCCAATACATGTTAGTGTTATTTTTGGACCACTCACATTAATGTTTCATCTAATTTTCCCTCAGAGTTTCCTCATCATTGTCTTAGGCCATATTTGTTGAGATATATGAATATTCATTATTAAAATCTTGCCTTCCTTTGCAGTTGGAGAAGACTCGGCATTAGGTGTTATAAGTCCCAGACCATGATAAATAAAAAATAACAACACAATGACATAGAACTGATAAACGTTTTCTCTTGTGCGTGTCAGCCATGGTCTACCAAATTAATTGCTATTCAGTGGGAAGAAACTCATTTTTCAGTTTCCATTTTAATTTCCTGACAAATAGAGCGATCATCCCAGCATTTTTTCTATGATCTATATCTATGTGCCTTAGCAACTTCTGTTTTAGAGAACAATAAAACAATAGAAAAGATTACTTTACCATACTTCTAATCATCCCACATTGTAGACATATTTAGAATTAAAAATATGAAGAGAATGACAAAACCTCTTAAAACACATTTCTTAGGAAACAAATAGTGTGGTATTCTTGTTACTATGGCAACAGAGTTTTTTCTTTTTGTCATTTTTGTCATACAGATTACCTATCATACCAGGACCAAATCCTGAAAATTTGAATTCAGTATCTTCATTAGTATCTTAGATAGGTTTCTTATAGTATCCCCCTCATCGGAGTATAAGGAAAATGCTCTGAAGAGGGATGCCCAAGGATGCCACTTAACAGTTCTGGTATTTTTGAGGTCCCAACCCTCTATTCATGGGAATAGTTAACCATTGTAAAGCTACTCATGGTTAACTGACAGAATTGATTGTATCTTCAACTAAGAAGTCAATAAAATGTTAAAACCAGAAGAAAACCACACCAACTTTCTTCTATTTACCAGGGGTAGGGCATTATAAAGTCATATTAAAATTACAAAATAGTACTTCATCACTATAATAGATGTATTACAATATCAAACATAGCTTGAGAATGTTGTTAGAATACTACTTTGAGCTGTTAAAGTTACCATATTTTGCTTGAAGCTACAAATATAAAATAAGCAAGAAAAAATGACAAAAATTGCATATTTTTCTAATTAATTGTATTTTTCCGAAACCAACAAAGATATCAACCTATAACTTTAGGATAGTATTCATCTCTGTACTAACAATGTATGCTGTAGAACTCAGAACAATAGTTTATATATCCTTTGAGTTATGAACTAATATTATAGTACCCCCTAAGATAATTTCCTAGGGGGGTAAAAACGCTAAAATGCAGTGTCGTGACCACCCCGTTGAGCTGTCATCTTTTAATATCTTTATCAGCATGAAAAACTGATCCAGAAAAAATAGGTCTGTTGCTTTTTCTAAAAAATGCCTCAAAAAGTCTTTCCCTTGAGATATTCTGAAATTGGAACCTGTCTATTATGTAATTTCAATAATTTTGGAACAAAATTTTTTGGCCCCTGGATGTCAAAATTAGATCTTGTTTTCCCCGTTTTTTCACAATTTTGTTGATTTATGGTATGAGATATGCGGTCATATTTGAGCAGGTGATCTTGGATCAAAATATTTTTAGAATTTACCTTATTTGTGCCATGATTTTATGTAGAAACTTGATAATTTTCAGCTACACAAAAATTCTGATAATAATGTTAGCCATCTTTGTTATTAATGGCACATATCCCACAATGCCACTGCCAGTGCTGCCATCTAAGTTAAGAACACATTATTCAACTCACTTTATGTGATGTTTTAACTACATAAAACTGGAAACCCCACTGCGACTGCAGGGTCTAAAATTGTTATACAGTTAACCATGAAATCAGAATTTAGGTAGGCCTATCCTATGTTGAAAGCTTATGAAGTGCTTTTTTATTATGTTACCACAAAAAAGTGCAAAAAAGTACATTGTACCCCACCTAGCTAGGTCATGCAAGGGCGTTACAATACCCGGGAATTTATCGGTTCGTGCAGTACTTGTTTGTGATAGCGCCCTCTGTAGGTCACTGTGCTTATAGCCTACAGTAATACGGGGTAGGATATCGGGAATTCGGTCAGTTTCTATCCGTCGATTTCGCTATGATTTGAAGCAAGTGTGACCACTTTATCCACTTAAACAATTTGATAATTGATTAAATATTTAAACAAAATCGATAAACACGTTATACACTTCCTATCTCCTTAGAAATTAGCATGTATTTATGGATTGTGTTTTCGAACAAGGCTCGACCCAAACCAATAGGGAAATCCTTATGCTAATTAGTATGACGTCATATTTTCCTGGGGAATCCTAGATTTCAAAGCCTCAGTCTGTTATTGTGTCAAATGTAAACGCTCTTTTGCAGACAGAAAATTGACAGATTAGCTTTTAACTTTCAGCTTTGATGTTTAAATATTCTGTATTTCTACCGGACTTCTTGCTGAATATCATATAATGTTATAACTTGATTTGGATCATTGCCTGATTGCTCATTCTGAAATTTTGATTGTGGTTCATGATTGATTGGCAAGAAAAATAATTCCTATTGTTTTCCAGCGAAGTCAAAATGTTACAGCATGAGTTATAATGTCGAGTTTGCATCATGTTAAATTCTGCTAGTGATTAGAAGTCCATGCACAAGCATACACATAAGAGACAAACACACCTAGGCTCCAGGCCGTGGATGGAAATATAAAACTATTTAAGGCACAAACTGGTATTAATAGACCGATATGTAGTGTCTGCCATGTATTGAAGGTAAACCAATCTGCATTATGAATGTTTCTTCTATCAATACATGGATTGTGCAATGGAAAAGCAATGGCACAATCAAAAATGTGCATATCAATCGTGAATATCTCTCGGTTCAAAGCTTATTTCCAACAGAATCGTGTCAAAATATGTGTCTGAGTAACAGTTATACATTATAAGATCGCAAACTCTTACCAATTATCAGCAGAATGGCTCATTTTCAACGAAATGTCCTTAAGACAACAGCCCTGGGTCGCGCCTGAGACCAAAAACTATTTCAAATAGCCCTCCCCTAATTATATTGGATAATCACATTTATGCGTGCGCGCGCAGCTCATCCACTGAACGAAACGCCACTTCCCGCTGAAATCACCGGGTATTGATCTTTCCCTTGGGTCATGTGTGCGCTACCTTGAAACAAGCCTCAGTGCAAGGAACGCATGTGTACTGCTCAGTCAGAGTAGATTGTTTGAGGAACCTGATTCATCGTTTTTTATGATGGTGGTTGACGATCGGCGGTTGGCATCTGTAAATGGTGGTGACAATTTGCTTGTTAATGCCTTACTTTTTCTGTTTGGATTCTGGCTCAACAACCCAGATGTCAGTAGACAGTTACCACTTTCACCACAGAGGGTTAATTTGGGTCGATAAGGATAACATGGCAGATATATTAGAGAGTTCTGTTAAAATTGGATATCCATCAGTTATAATAGATCTATTTTAATATTACCCTTATGTGTCTGATAGTTATACAAATGAAAATACAACGTCCAGTAAAACAAAATATTGGTATTATAAAATAAAAAATATTTCACTTTTTGTGATTTTATCTCCCCGACCTATAGCGTATGTAGAAGTCACATTTTCAATAAAGATGAAATTTTCAAGTTGACAAACAGTTTTTGAAACCACTTTCCAGATGTAATTTTTACTTTCACTGAATTTTGAATATTCAATGATGTAAATTAAGATTATTTCTACTGCACATCTCGTCTACTAAAATGATCTTTTTTCAGTCAAAATATGCCAATTTTCCTTATTTTCAAGTGGTATGTTTTCGTGCGAGTGAAAGCCTAAGTTTGAAATCTCAAACTGGTGCTTCTCTGGGTCTTGGGAAGATCACTGGATTTGTTTCTCTCATGACATGTTATTCTATTTTCAGATCCATGTCTGCTGATTCCAAGATTTGCACATAAACTTGAGTTTGAAGATAAAACCCATGAGGTTTCCATGACAGCATTGAGACTTGTCAGTCGTATGAAAAGAGATTGGATGGGGCTTGGTAGACGTCCATCTGGCCTTTGCGGAGCAGGTATGAGAAAATGTTATGGATTTTTATGTCTCAACCACAAGTGTTGACATTATTGTTATAGTTACCAACTTTTTTGTGAATGGTGTTTGGCATTGAGTGGTTGGTGTTCGGTGGTTGGTGTTTCCCACTTGGCATCTGTAACAAATGGCAGGTAGTGATATTTTGCATGTTGTTGTTTATTGAAGGTTTATGCTTAAATTATAATATTTTTTATCAGATTGTTGACGTATGTGAATTGCTGTAATTGCTGTAAATTCCTTATTTTTCTGATGAAAACCTTTTAATTGATTCAAAATAAGTACTTTTTGTTGTGATGCATCATTTTTTCTTCTTACAGCGCTGTTTGTAGCTGCCAGGGTACATGATTTTGACAGGACAATGAAAGAAATCATTAAAGTTGTGAAAGTTTGTGAAGGTACACTGAGAAAAAGGTGGGTTAAGATATAATTTATATATAATACTCATACAGGGCGGACCAATAGATATTGCTCCCTTTGAATAATAATTATTAAAAACTAAGTCTTTATATATTTACTATAATCTATTACATACCACTGAAAAGGACAATGATTTGTTATTCAAGACTTATATCAACAAGGTTCTTTGTGTACAACAGGACTATAGTTGTAAATTCCCATATGTTTTAATGTCATGAAGTGACTAGTTACATGCAATCTGATACTGAAGTGGCAGTCCACTTAAAGCTTGTATCGGTCATTAAATATGTGACCATTTTTATTTTTTTAAATATTTAGTATATATTCATACTGTAGCTGATTATATTGTGATGTACCATAACATTTGTCAAGAAAAGATACATGCCCTACCCAATTAAATTTAAAAAAAGTAAAAACAAATAACTTCCATAAGTTTTTATGGTTCCTTTATTTAAACACATTTTCAAAGCCTAAGCCAAGGCATAATTGGCCCTGTAACAAACACTATTTGCTTAACATTACAGATGACAAATAACCACCCCTTCCTTAATTTCCAGACTTTGGTCTATGATGCAAGTTTTGCCAACTTTTCCTGGTTTAAGGCATACATTTTTATTATACAAATGTATATAAGAAATATGATATTGTCATCAGCTTGGCAGGTTTACTATCTCTTTACTATCTCTATCACTTCTCTTAATTAATTTGAAATTTACAGGGATGATTTGGTATTACCATTGTTCTTTATTTCTTGCTTACTGTTGTTTTCAGGTTGAATGAGTTTGAGATGACAGCTAGTAGTCAGCTAACAATAGATGAATTCCACAAAATAGACTTAGAAGAGGAGGCTGACCCTCCTGCCTTCACACAGGGTAAACTAAAAGCAAAACTAGCTCTGTTTGATGAGCAAAATAAAATGCATGAACTCACTGAAGAAATCGAAACTGTACAGAATCAAATAGAATTTGCTTTAGAATCGCCAAAAAAACGTGGACGGAATAACGATGATATGTCAAGTATATGTTCATCAACGCCATCTATTAGTGATTTTGATGATGAACTTAGTCAATGTAGTAAAGATGCTGTTAGTAATATTAAAGAAGTGATCTCGGATTCTGAAGCTAAGCTTGACTCAATAATCAATGAAAATAATTTCTGTGATGACACTAAACTGAACAAGTTGGACAGTGTGCTTATGCCTCCCCCAAAGCTTGAAGAACCCTTGACTCCAAGACAATTGTTAGGCCCAGCTCCCACTGCTGCAAGTCTTGGTCTTAATCAGTCTATTGAAGAATGTATGGCGCCTGGTATAGAAAAAGGTATGTACAATTGCATTTTAGACTATTGTTAACTGGCATGTTTGGTAATCCATGTGCTTTCTATTTCAGTATCATAAAATTTTGGTTGAAGTTACAAATTTCTAAAATCCTGGTCGAAAAATGTCAACTTCTCCCAAAGTATAATATGATGTATAAACTATGTATATTTGCAGACATACCTGAAGATGAAGGCATTCTAGACATGACAGATATAGATGATGAAGAGCTTGATAGGTTTATACTCAATCCCAAAGAGGTCCAAATCAAAACTGAAATATGGACCTCAGCTAATGCAGATTATTTAAAAGAATTAAAAGGTATTTTGATTTTGGCATTTCTACCTTAAATGTATGATTTAACCCTTTTGTCTAAATGCTTTGGTGTGGAATTGGACCATGCTTAAACTATACATAATATAAAGCAATCTTAACTTTTTGGCAGTCCATCTTCCCTCGGGATAATATTGGCACTGTCAAGCCTATAGTGTTAATGTGGCAGGTTGATATTTATGAAAACTACTTACTTTAATCAACCTTGATCTCTTACTCTAGTTATTCAAAGAATAAATGCAGACCCATAACCAGCTTGTGTGTAGGAAATGTCCTTTGTGCTTCCTCTGGTGTGTTAGAGCGTTAACATCAGCTGCCTCTAGTCAGATCGACTGACAAAACAACCCTTTTTGGGGTTGTCGAGTTGGCCGAGAGGGCTTCAGCGCCAGCATGTTCAAACTTGGCAAGTAGGTGCCGTAACCACGAGACGTGTGTGCTCCTTGTGTTTATTTCATTCATTTTTGCTAGTGGAGAGGGGTCACCTTGTAAGAAAATCGAGGGGGGTTAATATATGACTATTTGGGCCCAAAATCACTTAAAAAGAGCTCAGAATGGTTAAAAACTGCATGACTTTGAAAGAATTTTTTGGCAAGTTGGCTTGCTTGCACCCCTTGAACACCCTTGGCTGCGGGCATGAAATGTATATATAATGATATATGAACTCGTACATGTATATCGACTTATGTAGCTACATTTTTCTTGCAGAGAAGGAAGAGAGGGAAGCAAGAGAAAAAGAACTAAACAAAGACAAACCAGAAAATTTAAAAAAGGTAGGCCAACAAAAATTTCAATGTACAGTATTGGCTTGTACATCTTAGTTGGCTCATCTAGTATTTAGAATCTTGATGCCTTTATTTCTGCACAAATTAATGAATAAAATTGTATGCATTCACTTCAAAAACAGTTTATGAATGCTTGAATTTACACAAAGATCAACATTAGATCATATTGTGACTAAATTTTCTAATAATTAAACATGTTAAACAGCTCCATTTCTCCTTTATTACATGTAGTATTGCGTCATATTTTTTATTTTTATTTTCTTCTGCTAATATCTAAAATTAGTTGTAATAATGTTCGCTACAGCAGCTTTAAACAGATTTAAGCTAGTTACAGTTATGAACACTGGAGTTGACACAGTTATTTGAGAACATCAATGCTTTAATAATATGACCAATATGACTATTTACTGCACCATTATTTAGCACAAAAACCACTTATATGATTTTGTAGAAAAAGAAATACAAGAAGAAACAGCCAATTCAGGCATCTACTGCAAGAGAGGCTATCGAGAAGATATTACAAGAAAAGAAAATCTCAAGTAAAATCAACTATGATGTCTTAAAAGATCTCAATAAAGGTTTGGATAAAAAACCAATCACAGAAGAGACGCCAGAAATGTCCATATTTGGAAGTCCAGGATTGTCACTAGAGGCCACGCCAGTGCATTTAAAATCTTCTTTGTCAGAAAAAAGGTAGGTACTATTAAGTCATACTCCAAACCAGGGCTCTAAGTTTCAGAGTTCGAGAACATTTTATCACACAACTACATATAGTTGACTGAAATCCTGGGAGGTATATTACAGTAGATCACTTATATAGTATCTTCCTTCTGATTTATGCCCCTGAAAATTTAAAATGGCCACCCAAACCATAAATTGGCTAGATTTCTGAGATTCCTCAGATGTTTGCCTTTTCAAGTTCAAATAGATTGATATTTGCAATATATAGTAGATTGTCAATATTATTATGTCACCACCAGGTGACATTGCTATTGTCTCCAACTTTTTTGTGGACAGTGTTCGGCACTCAGCTGTCAGAGTTCGGCTTCATCATCTATAACAAATGGCGGGTGGTGACATTTTCCATGTTGATGCCTTATATTGTGACATGTTTCAGATTCATGAATAATTCGTTCCATTGAGTTTTGCTGACTACATTGCTGACTTCAAGAGCCATTTTCTATTTTCTTGTGAACAGTTTAGAACTAAAAATACTTAAATATTTGAGAAACAATATTATCGTATGATCTGTAAAATGAAGCCTTCTGATGGGTCAGTTCTTGTGCTGTACCAATCTGTATTGCTACTGAGATTGTCCTCATTGATCATCTCCGTCGCAATACAGAAAATATTGGTACAGAGGGGACATTCTCGGTAGCAATACAGAGGATCACACAATAAAAACGTTCCAGAATGATTTGAAGTGCAATACAGAATATATTCTGCTCTCGATATTCTCGTTCCAATATGGAATTTCTCGAATCATTTCAAATCATTCAATAATATACAAACATTAGATTCTGTGGTGTTATAAATTTTTAGTCACATGGTATCTAATTGACCAATGAGAGAACGAGTATCATGGCATGGAAGTAATAACTTATAATATTGTTTGTTGTGCTGCTTCTCCTTGAGGTTACCATTTTCTGGATTAGATCTTCATTCCTGTACATTTTCTGATTCATTTCCTTTTATGTATTCACATAAAAATATTTGGATATTTATAGAATCAGAAGATCAAGCATTTCACAAGATGAACCTTTGCCAAAGAAGCCAAACATCGAAGAGATAGTCGTAGAATCTGGACCGGTGCAATATGAAAATGTTGAAGGTAATGTTTAATGTTATATTACTTGAACTAAATTCTCATATTGTAGTATGACTATTGCTGACATGGTTTGAGAGTTTAAATATTTGTTGAAGAAGAGCGTGTAAAGAACATGATAACTTATGGATGAACAGTTTAAAGGCAGAATCAGACACGGGGAGTGGGTTGGATTGCAAGCAACATTTACAATTGACCTACTCATGCACAATATGGTGACCCCAATTATGTCCTTTAAAGTGTCTGGCCAGGGTGGACTATAGTCAGATAGTTCCAGAATTATATCCATGAGTGAATTTATTTACAGATGATGCAGAACAAGATGAAGATGAGGTGGATGAGTTTGAAAAAGATGCTGAAGAACCTTTAAGTGCTGCTCAATTACTTGGTCATGGAGAGTACCAGGAGGTCTATGATGAAATTTATTGATGTCTTTTGTCTAGTACCTTCTTACCGGGAGTAAAAGGAAATCTATCTAATTTATTGATGTCTTAGTGCAACTCAGTTACTGTATCACTGGGAGTACAAGGAAGTCTATGACTTTTTGTTCTACTTAATAAGATAAATGTGGTGACTTGTGTACAGATTTGTAGAGGATAACATGTTTCTTTTGCTTCTACAAAGACTATTGATACAATATGTCTGAGGTTTTTGTGAATATTTACATGTTATCGAAAGCAGGTTTTATCCATGGCAATAGTGCCATCTATGAGAATGAACATGAATCAGAGACTTAAATTCCAGGAATGTGGCAAGTTTATCCTTGTAATGTAGCAACCACTGGGGTACGTCCCTCAAAACATTCTCAAATAAGGAATTCCAAAGCCAAATTTTCAATACCATATATGTCATGATGCTAATGTATTAAGCAGAGAACAGTACATAAACTTTAAATTCTTAGATAAATATATTTGTTATTATAACTCAAGTTTGTTTTCTATAGTTGTAAATGTATCCTGTGAAATGGCAATCTAATTAACGTGTATGCATGTTGTATACAACTTCAGCTCTGTGTCATACGATTCTTCATTAATGTATGCAACTCCTAGAAACTAATTTTTCTTTATTTTTTATTCACAAATTCCCCAAAGTTTATGTGTCCCAACTTTTTGTCAATGGAGGTTTTGCTTTATAGGTTTGAATTGTTCAAAGTCTCTTTTCTGGTGAGACTTGCAGTATTTTATTATAAAGTTTTCTGAAAAAGGTCGGGTCAGGCTAAATTCCCATAGACTCAATGTTCAAAAAATCTTTAAAAGTTCACTTCCTCTTTTAGGGTCACTATTTTTTATCTGTCACAATCCCCGTGTCATCAAAATTTTTAGTTGACTGCCCAATGGAGTTTTACATTAATCCAAATGAAAATACTTGATAAATCAATAAATTGACTTCTTCCAGTTGTCTCTACATTCTGAATAGTATTCTGGCCCTAACAACACATGTGCTGCCATCTACCTTATCCATCTATTTAGCAAATTCTCCATTTAAATGGATTCATCCTTGTCAAAGAACGTAAATAAGGATATGTACTAATTCGGTTTGAAAAACTAACAATATGTTTCAAGTTCTTACAATCCTTGGTTGAAACAAATACTCTCCTCTTTTGAAGAGGGAACAACGAATACGACAATCGTGGCATCATTCTTAGTAAATATTGATGAACACACGAATTTCGATTGTTGACTTAGTTACTGTGCTTGGCTTCTATGATTTCATGAATTAGTAAGTTTGGTGGCACTCCTTGTCCTAACACTCGTTCAGTTCAATCGTGCATCTTTACCTTACCTTATAAAGGTAGTAACGAACGAAATGAATTTCGAGAATGGGTACGATGTCAAGAAAAGACTCTGCATCCTCATACACCAGTACACGGAGTTTCTTTTCTCGACCGAAAAATGTAGACATAAATAGCTTTGTGTTGTCACCATTCCAGGAAAGCCGCCCATTAGCTCAAAGCGCCATATCGTTACGTTAAAGCCCTTACAATATCTGAAGTATGGTAATCCTCGTCTGATTTTATCATCCCATCGAACGAAGGTCGGTGGGATATAGGGAACGCCTCCCTCCGTCCATCTGTCGAACACGTCCATCCGTCCGCCGGGCGATAACTCAAATAGCCTACCATTGGTCCGATTTTGTTCATATTTCGTACACATATACCCTATGAGAATAGAAGTTCTGCTCCAAAGCCAATTTTCAAAATGGCCGCTTGCCGGCCATTTTAGTGCCGATTTTACAGTATTCTAGGTACAATATATAAAACTGTAATATGTTTTTATCGTTAAAAAGTTATATAGGACATTAATAAAGCTAGAAATATAGATACTTAAAGGGGCACTATACTTAATTTAGAAGAAAAAAAATTATCATTGAAACATGTTACTCACACACTAGCTCAACTATGGCACAAAGTTTGATTTGCTTTAATATTGAACTTACCCTACTATCACACCAAACTAGTTCTCACTACGTTCTCGAAATGGGCTTCAACTGTGTACGAACGGACTGGACGTACTAAGAACCGTTTGGGATCTATTTACAAACTTCATCGAACGTACTCGAACGGGTAGGTCCTCTAGAACTTAGACAATGCTCAAAATGTTCTCGTGGTCGTCACGTTCTACAATTAGAACGAGTGACAACGTACCAACGACGAACTGGACGTACTATGAACGGAACCATCGTACTTCAATCCTACTAGGGACGTTTTAACAACGAGTTGAACTGTCTGAGGACGTGTTGAGAACGAGATAGAACTCATTGCAAACGGGTTTAACTATTTAACACTGCTTATGAACGAGTTAGCAAAAATATAGCTATCACACCACACAAGTTGCCACTGCGTTCTTCAAAACTGGTTTAAAACTGTGTGCGAACGGTATGAACGTAGCTGCAACTTTATAAGGTCTATTTATGAACTTTATGAACGTTCTCAGACGGGAATGTGATTTTAGAATTTTGAATCGATTCAAAATTCGATTGCGACCATACCGTTCTGTTATCAGGTCATGATGACCTTCTAGACTAAAGGACGCGTTCTACGGCGTTGCACACCGACGTGGTGCGACCTGAACGAACTGCGAACGAGATGGACGTATTGAAGACTGTTTAAGAACGAAGAAGCTAATTATTTCAGACATATTTCCCGACCACAGCCAGATTGAGCCCGTTTTACGACGTTTTCGTAGGACTGGCAAGAACGGGTAAGAACGAGTTTGGTGTGATAGGGGGGTAAGAAAAAAGTAACTCACAGAAAAAAGCATTTGAAGTTCAGAGATCATTGGACATGCATACAAAGTGCATGTTTTAAAATACTATTGATTTAAAAGATGGCGACACTTCTATATAAATAAAAAAGAATGTATCATATAATACAAACAACTCTGCCATCTTTCAATGACATTGATAAAACTTGATTTATAAAGCTTGACAGATCGAAACTATTTTTTGATAATTTATTGTATTTTTTACATGTGTTATTTTACTGTTTAACTTACTCAAAAAGTAACAGAGAAATTTTGTTCATATTTGTAATAGATTGGTCTGAACTGTTCATGAAAGGTAGGGTTGTTTCGCGACATATGGGGCTTGTACTGCGAGACAATTGGACCGTGTCGTGTGGAGGTTGGGCTGTCTTTCGATAGAGTTAGGCTGTGCCATGTGGAGGTTGGGCTGTCCCGCGAGGCACTTTGACTGCTGTGCCGTATAGAGGTTTGGCTGTATGGCGAGGCACTTTGACTATACTGTGTAGAGATTGGATTGTACCGCGAGTCACTTTGACTGTACTGTGTAAAGGTTGGGGTGTACCGCGAGTCACTTTGACTGTACCGTGTAAAGGTTGAGGTGTACCGCGAGGCACTTTGACTGTACCGTGTAAAGGTTGGGGTGTACCGCGAAGCACTTTGACTGTACGCTGTATAGGTTGGGCTGTTCCGCAAAGCACTTTGACTTTGCTGTATAGAGGTTGGGTTGTTCCGCGAGGGACTTTGACTGTGTGTGTGCCATGTGGAGGTTGGGCTGTCCCGCGAGGGACTTTGACTGCTGTGCCGTATAGAGGTAGGGCTGTACCGCAAGGCACTTTGACTATACCGTGTAGAGATTGGATTGTGCCGCGAGTCACTTTGACTGCACCGTGTAAAGGATGGGCTGTACCACGAGGCACTTTGACTGTGTCGTGTATGGACTGGGCTGTCCCGCGAGGCACTCTGACTGTGCCATGTATAGGTTAGGCTGTTCCGAGAGGCACTTAGACTTTGCCCTGAAGAGGTTGGATTGCACGGCGAGGCACTTTGACTGTGCCGTGTGGAGCTTGGGCTGTACTGCGGGGTAATTTGACTGCACTGTGTAGAGAGTGGACTGAATCGAGAGGCATGTGGGCTGAACCATGTGGTAGGTGTGTTGTACCAAATGGTATTAGGGACATACCATGCGGTAGAGAAACAAGCGGCGTGGCTTGTCATCTCATACGCGGGAACAACGGTGATATTTGGAACTTGAATTTTCTGTTCGAATTTCCGCCGTTTACATTGTTGTTGGTCTCCAAGCTGACTAGGTTTCGAGAGACATGTGTCAGTTTGTCGCGTCAATGAGTTTATCATTGTAATCATGTTTTGCTTTGTCAAGTTGAAACCTATCTTGATAGTGCTGTACCTATCATCTGGAGATGTTGTTGGGGAACTAATAGCAAGCGATAGCATATTTAATACGCGTTGCTTTGCAATATCAGTCTCAATCAAACAGTCAATAATACGACCAAGTACATCGACATTTCGGGATCCTTTCTCGTTTAGAATAGTTAGACCTCCATTTTCGGCTGACAATGTAAATGTGACAACGTCCTGCTTTCGTTCGGTTTCTTTCTGTTTCTTCCTTGGTCGACCAAATTTACTTGCTGTGAAAAAATCATAAAGGGCTCTTACTCATGGCTGAACCGCAAAATTTGTCCGCTATGGGGTATCGTGCTATTTTTCGTAAAAATATTATATTGAGATAATGGGGATGTTATTTTTAAGAGAACCTGCGGGTGAGCGTGTAATATTTCGACGCCCGGGGATTACTGTACCGCTCTCTGACTGTTCCAGGGACCTAATTACAATTGTTTTCCGTATACCCTTATATCCAATCGGCCAAAAAAGAGTACTAATGGGAGAACTAATCCGCAGAGGACCATAATTCTACGCGCTCTAAGATCAAATTGACTTTTTTTATTCAAAATCATCTAAGGAGTTCAATCGTGTCTTTAGATTTGAGATTTTACCTTTAATGACCTCGACCTTCTCAGGGTCAATAAAATGGTCAAAAATGTATTTTTAAACTTGCTTCAAATTGACCAATTTTTCCACTTCAGATTTGAGATTTGACCCCAATGACCGTCTCAAGGTAAAAAAAAAGGCCAAAGGAGGTCTTTTTTCAACTTGTTTCGAATTCACGGACCACTTTTTTCAAGATCATAGAAAGTTCTCAGAAGTTCAGATCCGACTTTAGGTTTGAGATATGCCCTTCAATGACCTTCTCAAGGTCAGAAAATGTATTTTTTAACTTGCTTCAAATGTTCATTTTTTCAAAATCATCTACCTACAAGTTCTCTGAATTTCAAATCTGATTTTACCTTCAATGACCTTATCAAGGTCAAAATGTATTTTTTCTTGCTTATAATTGACCAAAAGGATTGGTATCGACATGGCGAACTGAATTGAACACACGTTTCTCTTAAACCAGTCATCAAATTTAATGATCATATTTTGAATGGTAACAGTTTAATTTGAAAAAAATACTTTTTTTTATATTGTTTTAGAAAACACACCAGGCACTTCTTTTGTTCTTGGATCTTAAGTTTGGTTGATTTTAAAAAAGTGTCAAGAAATAAAAGGTTTACTTAAATAATATCTATTTTGGGGGTTTTGTTTTAATCTTTTGAATAACTATAATATTGAGAGGTCTAAGAAAATGTTGCATATGCTATTTTGTTCCAATACGGTTTGGAAAGATATTTTATTTCATTCTTCTTATTTCACTCTCAAGAACTGATAGAAAGGAACAAAAAACAATTGAACTAAAAATTAAAAAAATGTAACAAAAACAATTATAAAAAAATATATTTAAATAATTTTCGCATTTAATTGTTGTCAATCAGTAACCATTAATTAATTGAACGTTGTTTTTACAGAATGTTTTCAATAATTGGTTTAAAAGAAAAACTCAGTTCGCCATATCGATTACAATCCTTTGTTTTCGAAATCATCTACAAGTTTTCAGAAGTTCAAATCTGACTTGAGACTTAAGAATTGACATTCAATGACCTTCTCAAGGTAAAAAGGTGACATTTTGTCATGTTAATGCCGTGTTTTTCAGTGTATTGATGATAAACCAGAAGTTCAATTCTGACTTGAGACTTAAGATTTGACATTCAATGACCTTCTCAAGGTAAAAAGGTGACATTATGTCATGTTAATGCCGTGTTTTTCAGTGTATTGATGATAAACCAGAAGTTCAATTCTGACTTGAGACTTAAGAATTGACATTCAATGACCTTCTCAAGGTAAAAAGGTGACATTTTGTCATGTTAATGCCGTGTTTTTCAGTGTATTGATGATAAACCAGAAGTTCAATTCTGACTTGAGACTTAAGATTTGACATTCAATGACCTTCTCGAGGTAAAAAGGTGACATTATGTCATGTTAATGCCGTGTTTTTCAGTGTATTGATGATAAACCAGAAGTTCAATTCTGACTTGAGACTTAAGATTTGACATTCAATGACCTTCTCAAGGTAAAAAGGTGACATTATGTCATGTAAATGCCGTGTTTTTCAGTGTATTGATGATAAACCAGAATAACTTAAACGATAATCATCAGAGGTTTTAAAACGTACCATTAATTGTTGACAGACCCAGGGACCCTGAAGTGTGAGCTCACCATGTGAGGAAAACCTACATGCATCTTTTAGAGTATGGTACGCTTGCGCCGTTTTCAATATTTAGCTTTTACGTGTAGGGTTGTTGGACGTCAAATGTTTTTTAAATTGTGAGATTTTCTGAGTTTTTTACCGAAAAATAACATCCCCATAGCGGACAATTTGGAGTCCCATCCCGTGTTTGTTTTAATACAACGAGCACAATTTAGATAAATAAATAGTACGCCGTAGAGCAATGCATACAGAGGGGGTCTTGCATGCGCGGTTGATAAAAGCATACCATTTAGAGACATTCCAAGACGCTTGCACTTGTCGAGACGACACCTCGGACATGTGTTCCTATTTTGAGGATTGATGACACAGCGATGTGCATTGTAACACATGTAAGAGTCCTCGGTTCCCATTCGAATGGTACGACGGAAGAATTTCTGCAAATATAATTGAAGTTGATGTTTTGAATTCGGATTGACAAATATTGATGAGTGAAATTATTGCTTTGTTACATTTTATCTTTAAAAATTACCGTGCAGTGATTTCATATGGTTTCCACCTCTTCTGATGATATGTAGCTTAGCTTGTTTTAATTTGATGATATGTGGTGTGGGGGTATGGAGGTGGGGGGGGGGCAGGCGCCATTTGGTACCCAGTGTAGCATAGGTCGCCGTCTTCATTTTCCAGTGTGAAAGATGCAAGATTATAAAAAATGACGACTGGATATACATGTATTTAAGTAAAGCCTCGGTCACATTTGCCCTACGGCGGGTGTACGGTGGCCGTAGCTTCATAAAATCGATACGGAAAATCTAAATCGTACTGCTTATCCCTATATTTTATGCTGCATGTTTCTCTTGCTTTTGGGAAGCTACAGCCGCCGCACAGTTGCCGTAGATCATGTGACTGACGCATCACTCACCGCTACGCCCTCTACTATTCGCAATGTCACGTCCGTTTAAGTGAAAGATTTTACCAACTCACCGTGCATCCTAAACATGCTACTATTCCGAAGTGTACGCCACTTGCGATGTCCCCACATACCAAGCATAGTCTCTGGCCCATCTTAGCCACAACTACAGCGGCTCGTTCTGAAAAGGCAACGTACACTGTTGCTAATAAATATGGAATATTTTATGGATGTGAATTGTTTGAGGGAGATTCGTGACTTGGATCCCCATCTCAAAATTTAGACACGTTACGTACTGCTCAGATTGAGGAATGGGGCATTCAGGCATTATTTCACTTAAAAAGGTCGTCGGATGTTTCATTCATAGCTGGTCAGTCACGTAGGGTTGATGCTCTGATTGCAGCACAAGGAGGACATAACGCATATTAGTGCTACCATTGGATAGAGGACACTTCAATCTTCATGACCAGAAGTTTATCTTCTGATCTGTTTTATTTTGATCAGGGTGTTTTGAAAATGCAAAAATTCAAAAATACCCCTGTTTAAATAACAGTAATTTTCTAAACTTAAATGTAAATATTTTTTCTCTAAAAAATGCTGATTTGTAGATGAAATATGTGGTTATGAATTGCCTATAAGATCAATGTCTGAACAGACTCCTAATAAATGTTCTCTTACTCCAAAACTTGAATTCTGAGCTACCGAATCTAATATTCCATATTTAGTATGAGCAGCAGTGCATACACTCTGGATTAATCACTACCGTTTAGTTATATGTGTCAAAGCGGATGTTTGCCACAGATCATAGGATTTTGGACTCTATGTTTGTTTCCCATAGATCCAGAGGAAATCCAAAACTTAAAACATAACTTTTTATTCTTAATTTCATCGTTAGAACACTTATTTGATAACTTTTTCAAAACAACAGATGTGAGATTAATTAAAAAGTCTTTCTACCAGTGACAAGCGAGTTGTCCAATTCATACTTCCCCAATTTTTGTGAAAGTGTGCCACTGCCTTAAATTGTTATTGGAAAGATGAAATCTCAACAGCCCCATGCCAATACTAGTGCATGTAAATGTACAGGCGTAGCCAGGGGGGGGGGGGTTCGGGGGGTTTGGGCCTTTACCTTTACGTCGCATGCCAACTTCAATACACTTCTTGTATCTACAATATGCGCATCTTCGTCGCAGCTTCCCGCCCAGGTCTAATTTACACTGACCGTTATTGTCACATTTTAAACCACCAGCACCCGCTTTTTGGTGGCGTATGAAGAAAGTCTGAAAAAACGAATGAACTGAAAACATTCATTTCAGTTACAATCACAGCGGCATCACAGTGAGCTCAGCACAAACATTGCGCAAATCAAAATTGGAGTTACAACTCATGAAGGCCTCAAGAAACATTGGGACTTGAAATACTGTTACTTGATCAGTATAACAAAATATTTGAAATTTGAATAATGCAATAGGGACTACTAAGTGGACAGATATTATTAAACGGGCTGGAAATATAGATTTAGACTAACGAGGTACCTCATGTTTAAAAAAATAAATCAAAATATCAAATGATCTTGAGACAAAATTTATAACCAATTTATCTAACATTCTCTATTACAATGCTCACTGGCGGATCTGGGGGGGGGGGCAGGCCCTTTTGGGTCATAAATGGGCCTTCTAAGGCCTTATTTTTAAATTTTAGGCCAAATTTTGAAGAAAATGGGCCTCTAAATTTCAAAATTTGGGCCGACTTTTGGGTTTTAGGGGCCCCATTTTTTTTTCTTAGACCAGAACTTTGCCCCCCCCCCCCCCCCCCATTGTTGGTTCCCAGATCCGCCCCTGATGCTGCACTGCAAGTTGGATTATCCAAGGACAAAGTACAGAAAATTATTCTGAACTGGCATACCTTGCACGTCCAACACGTCAGGACGCCGAAAAACACTCCCGCTGCACGAGAGCCACAAACACTGCAATTCCGTGTTTTATCAGAGGAAATACTTCTACTCTCGGAGGTATTACTATGTTTGGGCGATTCTCTGTTGATAGCTCTTTGAGATAAATCTTCAACCCCGGGTTGCCAGTCCGGACTCTCCATAATCTGCTTGAATCAAACAAACTCTGGATAAGTCGGACACAATTTTATTTTGACTGATACGCTTCGCTGAATGTAAGATGAGTGACCTTATACCATGGTCAAAGTAATATCAGGTATATAATAGCAAGTGATAAATGAAGTGTTTGGAATGAGGCCGTATTGGTACATCGGGATCATATTTAGCATATCAAACCGATACTAGGTATATATTATTCCCGGGGAAATCCTCCCGAGACTTCATTTTGTTCAAAGTTTTCTCTCAAACCTAAAGGCCCTAAAGCTAAAGGAACGTGACCCGGTGACAGACTCACAAAAGGACTTGCATTTTTAATGTTAATCAGTGTTATTTTCAGTGTTAGACATACATGTAACGTTAATATTTTCAAGATTCGTTTATTGTTTTCTCGTGATGCAACAGATTTTTGCCGGGTAGTTATTATTTGTCTCTGGACCATTATCCTTTGCATTCGTTTGACTTCACTTCTTGGTATAAGGTCGCTATTTCCTGTCGGGATGATATGGGAAATATCCCTGTACGATGATATCGAATTGTCACGTTCGGTCACTTCGTTCTCTCGGAATGTAATTGATATCATTCCTGAGACACTCCCCATATCAAATCCCCCTGGGTATTAACATCTTACTTACTTAACACCCCGCTGGCATTAGCTTGTATTCGCGATTGCAACTTTCGGCTGTTGGCTACTGGTTTAACCCACTACTTTATGGGCAACTCATCATTTTAATATGAATATAATGCCTGCCAATATTTAATTCATATTTAAATGAGTTGGTCATGAAATGGTTGGTTAATCCGATAGCCGACAGTCGAAAGTTGCATTCGTGAATTACAAGTTGAGAAACTAGTGGAAATCTGAACATCTTTGATCATTTGATATGTTATTTTATTTTTAATAGGGACTTACCTTCTGTAACCGAGGATCGAATATTCTGTTAAACGATACATTCATTTCAGTATTTATACCAGAGTAGTTTTCAAAATGTGTTTTCTAAACGTGGCGTTTTATAAGTAAATTTCATAACATGGGTATGCAAGAAAAATGTGACGTTTACACGTGGTTTTGTCACTATTGGTTATCTAATCTCTGCACGGTCCTCAGATGAAAACACATGTCAGTCTCTTTCTTCTTTTGCTCACAATATTATCTACATGCGATACGTCGCGCCTGGGGAAAGGCTTCATAACAATACAAATGAAGAAACGCTGTGAAATACAAGTGATACGATGCGAATGAATTACTTTTACTGTAACAGTATATCTTTAATATGACACGTTCCCAGTCATTCTTTTCCCATATCCTTGAGATCGCATTCGGATTTAGCAGAACTTATATCAATCAAAAGGTTGTGAGAGTCTATTCCAATGAATGTTTGATCCCACGATGGGGGACCAGTTGAGTAAAGTATTTGTTATCTGCCGTATTAATGGAATGAGCTTTTTAGAAAAGAGATCAAGAAAAATAACATTTTTTCAGATAATATGATCAGGCAAAATGCTGAAAATATAAAATTATATCTTGACCTTTGATCTAGATATAAAGTGAACACGATTTTAACTGATCAATGACCATGCAAAAATTGCGAACGAGGCACGGCCCTGGTTTTACGTTCGGCCTGGCGTATATCAAGGCATTAACATGACAAAATGTCACCACCTAATTGCTCACAATATTATAAGTTCAAAAGTCAGATTTGAATTTCTGAGAACATGTTGATGATTTTGAAAAAAATAAATTGGTCAATTTGAAGCAAGTTGAAAAAAGACCTTTTTGACCCTGAGAAGGTCATTGAAGGTGAAATCTCAAATCTAAAGTCAGATTTGAACTTCTGATAACTTGTAGATGGTTTTGAAAAAATGGTCAATTTGAAGGAAGTTGAAAAAATACCTTTGTGACCTTGAAAAGATCATTGAAGTATTTGTTAAGTTATTGGAAGTTACAGACGCCGATCGCCAACCGCCATAAAAAACGGAGACCAAAAACGGAGTTACAATACAGTACATGTATGTCACCACTTTTTGGTTGTGACATAAAAATGGCAACTCCATGGGAGTATCAAATCCCAACTAACAAATGCATATTCATTAATCTATCTATGTCACAATATAATATTTACTATCTACTCTACGCTTCACGACTCCCGAACCAGAAAAACGTTACAATATTTGAAATATAAATTGCCTTTCATTTGAGTATAATATTAAAGCTTTTGAAAAGAAAGATCACAAAATTGACAAAAATCCCGTCTTTTCTGACCCCCTCCCTCCACAGCCTCTGGGATTCGTGTCGAAAAACAAAGAAAAAACCAACCCCGGTAGTACTGGTACTCATTACTTTGGTTAGAAAGTGAATAACTTAGATTTTCGTGAAAAATTCCCGAACTTTTAAAGCGGTCGCCATCTTGAAAAAAATTATTTTGGCGTAAAACTGTTTATCAATATACAAATCTTTCCACCAAATATGAAGAAAATCGAGTTCTTCCGGACAGACCAACGGACGGACAGACGGATAACAGTAGGATAACAATCATTCTCCATTCATATGTATCATGCCTGCATGGCCTGGTCCTTTGCCTATTTCAAAATTTTTTATTTCACTCACATTTGTTTATTTTTGGCTCATCTGGCAGGTTGTTACCCTATTATCCCTCCCTACTAAGATTTGGACGTTTTCTTCAACCAAAGTCAATTTAAAGGATATGTATCGATATGGTGAACTGAATTCAACAATGTTTTTCTCTTAAACCAATTAACTGAAAACATTTTGTAAAAAACACGGTCCTTTATGTGATGTTGACTGATTGGTAACAATTTAAGGCAAAAATTATTTATGTGTATTTTATATAACTGTTTGTTAACATTTTTTGATTTTTAGTGCAATTGTTTTTGTTCCTTTCTATCAATTCGTGAGAATGAAATACAATGTCCGAACCTTGTTTGAACAAAATAGCATATTCAACATTTCCTGAGACCTCTGAATATTATAGTTATACAAAGCAAATTTTGGTTGATTTAACAAAAAGTATGCAAAGACTTAAAACAAGACCCCCCAAATTAGATAAAAATTAAGATAAACCTTTTATTTCATTAACAAGATACTTTTTTAAAATCAACCATACTTTCCTTTCTACTACTACAATATTGAGAGACCTAAACACGTTGTGTTTATGTCATTTTGTTCCAATGAGGTTCGGATAGATGTTTCATTGCATTTCGAACATATGATACCAATAACAAAAGGAGTGTCTGATGTGTTTTCTAAAACGATATAGAAAACAGTATTTATATATATTTAAAATGATAATGTTTCCATCCAAAAGATGACCATTAAATTGACGATGTGTAAAATTTTCAGAATGTTTTGATGACTGGTTTAACTCCTCTGAACATTCAAAGCATCTCACCAATCCTATTAAATATTCTACATAAGGTTTCCAAGGTCATACATACAGCAATAATGATAATTGTTAGAACTGCAACCATTCAATACACAAGGAGGATTGGCTCCTAGGATTCCAACTTGATATTCAACCTTGATTGATGACAACATTAGGTCATAACACCTTATATGGCAGAATATCGATATTGCATCCTGGGAGCTAGCCTTGCCCAAGTCAGTATTTTTTTACTTTTCTGATCTTGAATTATAGTCATAATAGAAATCAAGATAAGTAAAAGAGACCAACTTGGGCAAGGCTACCTGGGAGCCAATCCCTGATATATACATGTACTTTATGTAACACAATGTCAGATATAAGGTTTCATCAATTTTTATTCACACAAATGAAATTATTTCACCCCTCGATATAATCAAGCAATTTTCTAATTTATTTTCCAATAATGCAAACATTTCTCTTGGGCTAAACAAACTTAGTGGCAATTGCAAGTAATTTAGTAAAGTCTCCTTCATTGGCTCTAAGATGTGATCCTATTGGAACTTTGATCCTAGTCCCAAGTGGATTTCCATTATCATCAACCAGTACTACATTGTTAGTGTCAAATCTGGGCTTCATTGGGTAATGACGCTTACCCTTACAACCTACAATATATCCACGTGTTTTCTGTCCTCGTATAGCAAGGAGAACTTTGTCACCAGTATGTCCAATGCCTGTCTTTTTATATACGTGTATAACTCTAGGAGGCTTGCCTGCTACTTGTGCAGCCTTACCAAGAGCACTATTGTCAACAACTCTCATACGAGTAAGTTTCATTATGTGTTGCGACGCACTTGTTGAACTGAAAAAAAATGTAACATTAAACGATGTAATCATTAAATCATAGGTTGACTATACTTTAATTCATTGTTTTTGACACTTCCTGTTATACATACATGATTGTAAATTGTAGTAAAATAGTATTAAAACAGAAGTATTGGAGAAAAAATATGTTGACTATCCAACTAATACACAACCGGCTAATAAGTTCACTTAATCATCCCAAATATATTTTACAATATTAAAAAAGATTCCTGATATTTTACAAAATTGAGCTGGTTTTTGTATCATACAAGGCATCAACAGGCATTTCAAAGTGTCACCTCCCGCCATTTTTGACAGATGACTTAATTTGTTAAGCTGAAAGCTGAACAACATCCACAAAAAGTTGGAGACTAACAATGTCACCACTTCTTGCGGTGAGATGAAAAGTATCATAGATCTCCTTATGTACAGTATTTGTTCTGATTATACAATAAAACCTGTCCTGTGGAACACCTTTGGTACCTCTGAAAGTGTTCCACTTGGGAGGTTTTCCACTAATAGAGGTTCATTTAACCATATGTTAGTTGGTCTTGCAGACTTGCCAACCTAAAATGAAAAATTTTCGGGAGATTTAAAAAAAATTGCGGTACTTTTAAGGGAGTTTTTATCAAAATCCAGTAGTTTTTGCGGGAGTTTTTTGAAAAAAAGCGGGAGTTTTTACGGGAGATTTTTTAAAAAACTGTAGTTTTTACGGGAGATTTAAAAAAACTGGAGTTTTTGCGGTAAAATTTGAACAAACGGGAGTTTTTACCGGAGATTTTGAAAATACGGGAGTTTTTACGGGAGATTTTGAAAGAACGGGAGTTTTTACGGTAGATTTTGAAAGAACGGGAGTTTTTACGTTAGATTTCGGAAAAAACTGGAGTTCTTACGATAGGTTTCTGAAAAACAGCTGTTTTTACGGTAGATTTTGAAAAAACTTGAGTTTTTACGGTAGATTTCTGAAAAAACTGGAGTTTTTACGGTAGATTTTGAAAAAACGGGATGAGCATTAAATCCAGCGATTTAATTGGTTGGAATTATTTTGACACATGCGCAGTTAATAAATCAATTAGAACTTATAATGTAAGATAGATGTCACTCACGTTCATTATTTCACAGCAGTCCCTACCCATAATGTGCCTTATATTGTGGGAATATTTTGTTTAGCACCATATAAAAACAAAATGTATTCTCCCGACAGAAGTATGACAGAATATGAACTGGCCCCCGTTTGTGGACATTTGGTGTGCACACTTATACCCAACTGATCGCAAAAAAGCAATTTGAATCATGGAAATGAAGTACTTTTAAGTTATTTATGAAAGTATCGATAGTGAACCATGGGAGCCAATCCTTCTTGAAGTAAAAGAAAGAAGCGTGCCTGCAATAATCAAGGTAACAAATTTGTCAAATTTCTTTTAAATACGGTAGATTTCGACAGCAAAAAAACGGAGATTTTACGGGAGTTTTACCAAGAATATGGGAGATTTAACGGGAGTTATACCAGAAAATGGGAGATTTTACGGGAGTTATACCAAGAATACGGGAGATTTTACGGGAGTTATACCAGAAAACAGGAGATTTTACGGGAGTTATACCAAGAATACGGGAGATTTTACGGGAGTTATACCAGAATACGGGATATTTTACGGGAGATTTCAGCAAAAATACGGGAGATTTTACGGCCATATTTTAAAAAAAATTACGGGAGATTTTAGTAGAAATACAGTACGGGAGTTTACGGGAATTTTTACGGGAGAAAACGGTACGGGAGTTTGGTATTTTTTACGGAAAAACAAAAAATTTACGGGAGATTCCCGTAAAAAAACGTGAGGTTGGCAAGTCTGTCTTGGGACTTTGAAAAGTGTTCCATTAACAGAGTTTTACAATTTCTAGAGGTTTCCACTTTACATATTTCATTGTAGTTATACCTGAAGTTACTTGCTCCCTCCGGAGGCTTTGAAGCCAACAGCTTTGGAGACTTGTTAGGCGCCAGACTGTGAAATTTAGTCGCAACCAAGTTTAGCTTATTGAAATGAGAGGTGACATCTGCGATGCTTCTGAGGCAGCCTGACATGCTGTTAACTAAATCTTCATCTGAAATGAAATTTATTGATAAAAATATGATTTTTTGGGAGGGTTTAACGCTAATTGCACTGAAACTTTACTCTGAAACCTAATAAGTAAAGCTGTACATGTATGTAGTCCAATTAACTATTCAAAAACAATAGCTTAAAAGACATGAATTCTCTCGATAAATAAAATATAATCATAATGTCATTCATGTACATTATGAATATACTTTTCCATATATTATTGCACAATGGTCTCCCAATTTCTTATTTTTGCCGTTCTACTGACGAAATGAAGCAGTGAAATGGACTCTAGTTGAAAGCCCATGGTTTCAGCAGTTACGATTACTAGATGACCTACATGTATACTATGTGAATAAAGGCTATTGTATAACATACAGATCAGACAACAATAACAGCTTTAAAATACATGTAGTTCAGTTTCAAGTTATCACAACAGTCAATTTGAAACTTCGGAATGCTTTTTGTGACTCATAATCACAAAAAAGTTGGGTGACATTCAACATGGGGCAGTTTTGGTCAGAAGAAATCATAAGTCTTTACCATAAAATATTTGACTCTAGCTATGGCAAAAAAATTTACTCACATGTATGTACATTTAGAATTACAGTAAATTAAAAAATAAATCTAGACAACTTAGACTCTAGATCTAGCTTTGCATTTGTGGGCGATAATATGGTGAACAAATTTCTTGAACGTGTATAACAGTTTATTACTGACACATAAAAAATAATTTCGCGAGTGATATTATGCTTAATATGTATCTTGCTAATCTAGCAAAGAATATATATTTCTTCTTACCCGAATTCTCTTTAAAAGGCCTAATTCACCTTCCGTTTTCCGTCTTCAGTTTTACAAAATTTCTTTCTCACCAGATGGCGTCTGCATCTAATGGCGTGATGTTATTGTCAAAAAAGTTGTGGAATTCTACTATAGAATGGGCTCAGGACAGTACAGTCCGTTGGGCAAATGTACTAAAACAAACTCTATACAGAGTACTCGTATCAGTGTCTATTTTGACAGTATTATTATGGATATCAGTGTTTATTTATGGTGCTTTTTACTTCGCTTATATGCCATCAGTTTCTCACGTAAAGCCAGTTCACTTTCGATTCAGGTAAGTTTTATTTACCTCCTTCTCATTTTTTAAGGCCTCAATTGTGTTATGTTATAGGCTAAAGACTCGCTAAAGTTTGATAGATTTTTCCTCGAGGCCCCTAGAAGTATGTGAGTTGTTCAGTAATGGTATTATGACTGTAGGCTATGATCCGGGGTTACAATGTTATGTAATTAAGACTTATAGTCTTGCGAGGTTTGCATAGCCGCCTCTATTATATTTTAAACGTCGAAAATAACGGCTATGCATAAGTTTCCTACCTCATTCTGTAACAACCCTTGGGCACATCCATTGGGGAGCTGAGGCCTCATCATCCGCTCGTTGCAACGCAGATTCGCAATCGCAACGCAATGCAAGTTTTGGCAAATCGCAATCAGGATTTGTATCATTCGCTCGGTGCAACGCAATAGCAATTGGGAAGATGTTTAATTCGCAACTGACCAAAAACCTGCGATAGCTCTAACTTAATTGATTTCGTATGTACATGGGCTTTCACACGCACCTACACGCACCTAGAACTCATTTTTAATAAATTTTATAAATATTTTTAAGAATATTAATCATATTTAGGATGAAGCGTTGCTTGTCTGGATTTAGATATTTCAAAATTTCATTTCGGAGTTTGAAACATGATGAAATTTTCTTGCTGTAGCTAAAAATGGCTTCCGGTTCTGGACGTGAATAAAATTTGAAATTATTCTCGCTTAAAGAAATCAAATATAACAATAGATTCAGACGGGGATGTGAGCTGATGTTCTTCAAATCTATACATAAAGGTATATTTCATATTATTATGCCATATTTACTGTGCGTGTGACACAATGATTTACAATATTTATAATACTAAGGCAGCTCAATCTTCCTCCTCAAAGCCGGAATATAGAGAAGGCTTTGGACCGAAGTAAGCTCTAACCCTTCTGCAAATCAATCGCAAATATTACCAATCTTTAAGACAATTGTTATCTATTTCAAATGTGTAAAACTATGAGTTTCTTTATTGATTGCGTTAGTATGTTCTTTTCTCAAGGCGACTGTGTAATAAAAAGTTAGTTTATGTTTTTCGAAAGTGCTTAAATCAAAGGAATCGCCAATGGTATGAGGGGTGTTTAAAACATTCGAATTTTATAATTAAATCCAAATCCTGATAGCAAATCCAAGAAAACGAAATGTAACATTCATTCCGACATCGCTAAAAATGGGCATAACTTTGAGGTTCTTTGCAACAGGCAACTTACAAATGACAAATAGGGACTTATTTGGAATAACACAAGCATCTGTCTCGAGGTGGTGGGAGAGGTGTCTATTATTATGTAAAGGTACAGTATATTGTAATTTTCGATATGTCCTGACTTCAGAGAACCAAGGTATTTCTATTTCAAGGCATTAAAAGGTACTAGTATAAAGTAGAGTAAATAAAAGTATGTAGATAACATCCAGGAGTTTCACTTAATGACACCCTTGGCCAAGGTCAATTTGAATGTAAAATTTCCCTCGAAATAAACGTTCATGGGGTATTTTGAAATGAAATGAGAAATTACGAAAATCGGTATTTGTTAATTGGGTTTCGATGACATGGAAATAATTTTAACGATGGAATATTGGAATTTGACTGGAAAGGTGCAAACGGTCCTTTACTTCCCAGTCACATTTCCTACGGCGACTATGCGGTCTATCATTTCTGCGGTCAGTAACATTTCTACACTCCCCGTAGAATTTCTGCGGTCGGATACTTTTGCAGTCACGTATCCTACGGCAGCCGCACGGCGAGTTTTTGAATTTGTATCGATTAACGTTAATTCTGCTTTTTGTTTTATCTACATCAGTACAATTTATAAATGTTGTTAAACGGTAAACCTTTCTGCAGTCTGACAATGGCCTGTTGATTTCTTGGGGGATAGCAGAAATGAACAAATATTATAACTCTGAGTCATAATTTTTACGGCAACCCTGCGGCCTGGATAAGCTGTACGGAGACTGCAAGGCGAGCGTAGTTTTTCTACGCTCGCCGCAGAAATTGACTGATTTAATTGATCTGCGGTCCATCCTCTTGCCCAAGTGCACACTCGTCAGTCAGTACACGCTCTCATCTGAGTGCACCTTTGTCATTACATGCTCTCAACCGAGTAAAGTTTTATCTGTTCAGACTTCTATCCGAGTGCATCCTTCTCAGTACACTCTCTCACCCGTGTGAAACCACGTCATACATAATCTAACCTGCAACCCGGGTGCACCCTCGACAGTAAATACTTTCACCAGACGAGTGCACCTTTGTAAGTACACAGAGCACCCTCGTGATAGCACACTCAAATACGATGCACCCGAATGAGAGTGTGTACTGACCAGGCTGCACTCAGATTAGAGTATGTGATGACGAGGGTGCACTCGGTGAGAATGTGTACTGATATTCAACTATTAATGTGTTCCCAATCGCGAGATTCGTGAACTTTAAGATCAGTGATTATGTGTGATATCGTTACACATTGATATTTTTTGATTGAAATAATCACTCTCTTAGTAAAACTCAAGTCGAGATAAGTATTTGAATAAGGTCCGGTGAGTCCATGGGCATCAAAAAAGTTCTGTGACATGGACATTGTATTTTATTAACTCTTTCTTTGCGGAATTTCTCATTTTTTCACATAGCTAGTTTGCAGAATTAATTTTGAAGATTTTCATAATTTCGACATATAAACTTTGAATGACCATAACTTTGTTATTAGTCCATATTTTTATTTGAAATTTTCACTGAGTATACATCACATGACATTCTATCAAAAAACAGTAAGTTTATAACTATAGCTGTAAGTTGTCATGCATGAATGAGTATGATTATAAAGGAATAAAAATATTACGAAAAATTCTTATGTTAATTCATTTACAAGACACCACCATACTATTGGCTATCCATTATAAGACCATGTAGTGAAGTTATAGAGTGTTTAGTTATGTTGGTATATTATCCTATTAGTTGCAACAATGTAATCTCTATGATTATGATATATTTCATGGCATACAACTGCATATAATGGCACCATACATCATTTCTGATTTTTTCACAAAACTAGTTTGCAGAATTAATATTGAAGATTTTCGTAATTTCAACTTATAAACTTTCAATGAGCATAACCTTATTATTATTCCATGTTTTTACATGAAATTTTCTCAGATTATACATCACATGACATTCTATTGAAAAACAGTAATTTTATAACTGTAACTGTAAGTTGTCATGCATGAATGAATTTGATTATAAAGGAATAAAAATATTCCGAAAAAATCTTGTGTTACTTTCAAGACACCACCATACTAATGACTATCCATTATAAGACCATGTTGTGAAGTTATAGAGTGTTTAGTTATGTTGGTATATTATCCTATTCGCTGCAGCAATATAATCTTTATGATTATGATATATTTCATGGCATACAACTGCATGTAATGGCACCATACATTGTTTACAATAGGTGTTGGTTTGTCTTCTTTTCCAACCAGGTCTTGTTTTATTGCTACATACAGTACAGTCAGGTTTATATGATTTGTTTTCATATTGGCCAACAAAGTGTCTCTCAGTTAGCCTTGTAGGGGGTGGAACACTTGGACGACGACCACGAGGAATCTGCGGGGCGAAATCAACATCCTCGAGCAACCCCTCAATTATTTTGTGGCGGAAACTTTTACTGTCCATTGGTTTTTCATTTTGGGGTATAGTTGCACAGTAACAAATATATCCATTTACACAAGCTGTTTGCTGCATTCTAAAGTAGCATGGGTGGTACCATTTATAGTTTTTATGGGGATATTTGTAAGTAGAACATAACTGATCATAGCGATCGACACCCCCCATATTTTGATTATAATCATCCACAAGTACAGGCTTTCTGGCAATTCTTCTCCCATTAGGGGCACGTCTGTCCCTTACATGTTTTTCGATTATTTCATTGGTATGCACTGTGGATAAAGCAGATAAACACTTAGTATCATACCATGTAAGGGCAACACAATTTGATCCTTGGTCCCTCATGAAAACAGGATCATCGCCTTTATTCAACCTTAAGTTCTTTTGGTTCAATTCCGGGGGCATATTTTTTCTAATAGGCTTAACAGTTCCACATAAACCAGTGCCATGTGACTTCAGCGCTCTGGCTAGATTTGGGGAGTTATAAAAATTGTCAACAAATATTATATGGTTACGATCAAATATGGGTCTACTAAGACTGAGTACGACTTTTTCTGTCATAGTGAGTGGTTCATTTTCACCAAGTTCATTTTGAATATCATCTAATTGAAACAAATCCTTTCCTGTATACATTTTATGAGCAAGGAGGTAGCCAGTGTCAGAATCATTCAAGCAAAATTCTTTCATTCCCCATTTGGTGGGTTTGAGGGGTAGATATTGACGAAAGTGAACACGCCCCCTAAATCCTATCATGCTTTCATCAACTGCTAAGTTCTGGCCAGGTTGGAAAGTGTTCATATAGATTGGATTCAAAATATCTAAGAGGGGCCTAATCTTGAACAGGGGGTCATGGTCTGGATGGTCTCGAGGTTGCTGGTTCTCATTGTTGTTAAAATGTAAGAATTTCTGTAGTAATAAATAACGGTCCCGCGGCATAACACGACGGAAGTTTGGCAAGTCTGTGATCCAATGATTGGTAGCCCAATAATCAATTTCTGCTGGAGCAGTGATGAGTCCCATTGATAACTGCAATGCAGTGAATGTATGTATTTCTCTGGGATTAGTTTCTCTCCACTGACGGAATCTTGAGTTTGGAGGCAGACCTTCAAATACATCTGGGCCATCGAAAAATATTTCGGCATAGTTATTTGTTTCATCAGCAATATGTTGAACTAGATTGTCTGGCCAAAATATTTTGAAAAAATCCACTGGTTCGTAATCTGCAGTATCTACTAATACTCCCCTCCTTCTTCTAAACTGTCCTATCCATTCAACATCATTGGGTTGCATTAGCTGATATTGCTGCCAATCCCATATGTACCGG